CCACAACACACATGCACCCACATGCCGGATGGGCTTATCCTGCGAGAGACAGAAAAGGGACACAGACACGGAGACAGACAAAGTTTATATTCAATTCCCAGGCTAAAATGCGAAAATGCCTAGAAATCCATTTACGTAAATTCTCTATTTAGCATGCATTCGGGGCATTTTCATTGTTTTTTATACTCGTTATCCTGCCGGTTTGGCTTTCACTCTCGCCCCCTTTGTCCTTGCCCCTTCTGTCATCAAATTTCAAAGCTGAGCTGTAGTTTATTTTGATGGGTTTCCACTCGGCACCCGGCTTGCTCCTTTTGCTGACCCATTTGTGTGTCCTGCGGCACTTTCTCCGGTTACAGCCCCATCGCTTTCCTTTTGACCGACTGTGTGTGTGTGAGTTTGTGTGGATCTCTTCCAAATATTATCGAATTTCGATTGTCTTAGGCGGCCAAAGAAAAAATCTCCCAAAAGGGAATGAAAAAACAAAATTATGCGCATTGAGCTGTTGGGACACTCGGATATACACACATCCTCCAGATATAAATAAGGACGTTTGGGTGTGGGGGGCAGTGTGGGTGGGGCATATTTGTTTATGGCTAGGCATAAAAACAAAGCCTTGAACTGAGTCCCTCAACTGGTAGTTTGTGGTTTCGGGCATACTCCATATCAATATTTAGAAAGCTAACGAATTTCCGGAAATTTATTTTCGCAGACTTAAAGTTTTGCTTGCATCCTTGCATCCTGAGCTAGTTGGATCCTCGGCGAAGTGCTTCCGCCATTGGCTTTCGGGTCATTACTTGACTTCTTGTCCCAGAGTTTGCCAACAACTTGAAGTCAGCTTAAAACTTAAGAGCTTTGACACTGGCTAACACACACAGTCTGACAAACTGGCTCAAACACACACACACTCACTGGCTTACACATTTATGGACGAGTGTGCGAGCCTTCGCCGCAGTAACTGTGTCATTGCGGTTTCCTTAATTCATTTTGTTTGTAGGCGGCGCGACATTGTCACTGTCATCGTCATCCCAGTCGTAGTCGTCATCGTCATTGTCATTCCCAACCGCAGCTCGCTGATTGTTGGGGCACAGTCAGCGAAAGAGACAGAACCACAAGCCGTGAAAGAGATGGAGGCAGCCAGACAGTGGGTGACGGGGAGGCGAATGAGAAGCCTCCTCCAGCTGTTGTCCGCCGCGTTGTTTTTAGTTGAAAGGCAGCGCTAAGCGGATTAACGCTGTTATTTTAAGTTCAACAAACGAAACGAAGAATAAATTAATGAGTTTTCACTGTGGTCGAACAGACGGCATTCGGCCCTCCAAATGGGTTTAACAGCTGAAAGCCAAAGCCGAAACCCACATACCCATACCCACCTACCCCAATTTGGGGTTGCCTGGTAAGGGACCCAACCATTAAGCGGACTTTCCCAAAACTGTAATCTGTTCAGTGCGCCCTGTGCTGATATACCCTTCCTCCAAGGGGAAGCACCAACGCTACAATGGTTTAAGCCGCGGTAATTCAAGGAATAAGGAGTTGAGCATTTATTTCCTCTTTGAGTTTAAGGCTTAACATTGTCCTTGGTCGCATAAATATCCCTGAAAATTAAATAATAAGCCTATATTATTTAAAACCTATCATTTAATTCAAAACCGGATGTGCAAGGCCAATTCCAAAAAGAGTATTCCTTCTTTGTTTTGGCCAAAATCTCTGGTGGTGTTCTTGTTTGCCTTTATGTATGGCAAGTGCAAGTGTGTGTGCGAGGGGGTCCTTTGACTTTTTTTCAAGCTTATATTTGCATTTGTATTCGTAATTGTTATGGTTTTTGCATTGATTGTGAAAATGTGTGCCAGTGTGCATGGCTATGTGCCGGACACTGAAATCGTAATTAGTTCACAATTTATGCGGAACCGTTTCCGCATTTTTCCCGTCGAGTATCACGTCCTCGCCGGGCTTTATTTTTTATGTTTGCGCTTCCAACCACGTCCTGGTAAAAATTATTGGCTGCCATGGGTTTCCCTCTTGTTTCTCTTGTACACATTTTTTTTATGAAAATTCTATGAATTTCCAATCCCAAATCGGATTACGGCATTAGCTCGCTGCGAGGCAGTGAGTATGAAACTGTAATAGCAACATCAACCAAAAGATGATAAAACTTTCACCAAAAGGAAGGTCGAGGGATGCCCCACAAATATTCAACACAAAATAAAAGCCAGCTCCAATGACTTGAGCTTTTGTCACAATGATATGCAACTTGGGGCCACCAATACTGGGCACACTTATCCTGATCCAATGTCAGATGGACCGAAATTGGCCACCAAAGGAATGGAAGGATAAAGGCACTGTGTAAAAAGCGCATAATTGAGCTGCGATGCAATTAAGCAGTTTCCGACAAGTTGCCGTCAAATATTTTCTGGCCCGGACAGGGCCAGTTGCTCCTTTGCTTCCCCTTTCTTCAATGTCTCTCATCCTGCCAGGATGCATCCGCCCGTGCATCCGATCCGGGTACTTTGACGAGCACACTCAACCGGATAATGGAAAGCTCAGACTTTGAGCTGCCCACAGAACTGTTTAGTAGCTGCTTCAAATTACCCAGAAAATGTTCTATGGAATTACAAAGTTTTCCCCAAAATAGTTGGTAATTAGGAAAAGTTGTACAATTAATAGCAAAAGTCGCTGATGGTTGGTTGGCGAATTTTAAATTATGACTAATATTGCATGTTATTAAGGTGTATTTAATTTTTAAATTCCAAGCTCAAGGATTTAGATTCTAGAACCTACCTAAATTTAAGAGTTAGTTCTACCAAGTCTTTAAATACAAAACACACATTCTCCTTATCCTAGCTGGGCCATAGTTGACAAACGTTTCTGGCTTTTAAACGGTTTTGTTTGTGTTTCCCTTCTCAATTTGCCACAAAGTAGTTGCCACCAAAGGAGGACGCTGGGAATGGCCAGGAAGAGGAGATGAAATTTACTTTAACGAACTCAAATTCCGTGAAGCTTTTGACTTGGCCAGAAATTAACTCACTAGCTTACGATGGCCCAGAGAAAGTCAAAGCCGAAAGCCGGTGCAGAAATGCAGCAAAAAATACTTGGCTTTGATTCCTTGGACGCCCTTTGCCTTTCTATCGTTTTTGTTTTGTTTTATCTCCTCTCCTCCCTCACTCCCTTTCATTCATTATGCCACGACTCCCACTTGGCCTGGGAAGCTCCCCAATGCGCCTCCATTTATCACAGTTTGTGCGCATTTGTCGACTGCCTTATCCCAAGTGGGTGGCCTAACATCCGCTGCCACTTTGACAGGCCGAGCCGAGATCCCTAGGGAAAGGTCCTGAGACAAAAAAGAGAAATTTGCCAAGAGTCCGTTGAGAGCTAAAAGGGTAAGCGAGGGGCAGGAAGGATATGCGTCAGTAGGAGACTGAGGAAAGTTGTCAAAGGGAACGCCCTGCTCGGCGGAAAAATGTCTTTTAATTAGTGTTTAATTGAATTGCAAACTGGAATTTTAATCGAAATTGCAGCTGGTGGGTGGCCGAGCTAGTTCTCGACTTTTCCGCCCTGTTAGAGTCCAAAGTTTGTATTGTCCACTGAGCTAAATGGTCTGTTTGCTTAGCCCCCTCAGCTGGCTTTGGGACATTGATAGCTCAAATTCACTTCCCGCTTTCTCCGCAGGCACTTTTTCGGCCCTGCGGCTAAATGAACATAAAAAATCAAGCAAGGACTTCAAGTTGTTTCTGTAAGTAATAATAGACTTCATTGATTTAAAAGCCAGTATTTAAAGGGACAGGTTAAATACTTTCATACAAAAAAACGTCAAGCAGATTCATTAAGTGTGTGGAATGTCCCGTTGAAAGGGATTATCCTTGTGTCCATAGTCGCTCGCTGGCATCCTTTAAAATGCAGACCAAATTGCTGAGCTCCCCTCGGCTGGTCCCTGTTTAATTGATTATAATTACATACATGTCCTAATGCAATTCATCAAACGCGTATTCTCTCCGGACGGTCCGGTATCCAGAGCCTCCCAGATCCTGCCTTCCAGCAGGACTAGCTCGCTGCCTCGCATGCCTTTGACGACAATAATGAGCATAATGATGGTGGCGGGGCTGCAGGCCAAGCGGATACTGCTGTTAATGCCACAATAAAGACCGCAGCATGGATTCCGATGGCCCGGGGGCCGCTAGTTGGAGCTCCAAAGGCTGAGACTCCCAGAATCGGGCTCACGTACAAATTGCATGATTACTATCAGGGATAATTAATGTTGATGCCGGCGAGACTCAAACATGTTAGTTGCCGGCGGGTAGCGCAACAAAAGACCAACTATTATAGCCGGGACTATGTACGTATTTAGTTCTGACCGGCCAAGTCCTTGGGCCACATGCTGGCCGAGTTTGTTGATGTGGGGCTTCCCAGCTCGACGGTTGTCAAGTGCAGCTGGCCGATAAAGTCAATCTATTTGCCAAGTTTAAATTAAGCCATAAAACGGGCCCCCGGATGTCTAAAGCAGGCTCTCTCGGATGGCCCTATTGAAAGTGTAGTCGGCAACCACTAATGTAAATCAATTCGCCTCACATAATGCCACTGCATAAATGCCAAATCATGGCAAATTACGTATTTGTATTCATCGGCTTAGCCATACCCCAAATACAGGAAAATGGCAATTGAATCGGTAAAATTAACAGAATGAGGTGCCAGCAGACTAAGCATGTGCCAGCCAGCACCCACAATTCAGAAATTATTTGCCATAAAGGCCGCATCAAACCAAATGTAATGCAATCAGGGGTATTGAAGCTAATGAGCTACTTAACCGACATCTGGAATCCCATCCAGGATATTACATGTGGTGAATCGAAAGACCTCACGAATGAGGTCGAGGAAACAGAATTAATATTGAACTGCAAACCAATAGTATCCAGGCGAATGTCCTAAAGTCCTTTTTAATACCCACATTTCATATCATTTCTAAAATCTCTTTATTAAACACATATATACATATAGATATATATAGACAGAATTCTAGCTACCAAGAAGACTAGATAGTATTGTATCAAAGTTTATGCAATGGGCCATGAGGTCCTTGACGTCTCTTGCTGGGAACAAATATCCCAGGAAATCGACCAATTCGGGTTGACGGGTTACAACGGCCGAATAGTCCTCATACGAGATAACACCATCCTTGTCCAGGTCGAACTTTTTCATTAGGAACTCGGTCATATCCTTTAACAGAATAGATCAAACAAAAAGGATTTAAAGTAAATAAAATAGCTCACCAATTTGAGCTCGTTGAGTTCTTCCTCGTCATCTCCATGAAAGAATGCATCGCAAGCCACGCCGACTTGTTCCCGATCAATGACATCCGTGCCCTTTGTATTGTAAACCTGCAAGAAAAGGATTCTGTGTTCTCAGCCCAATACGATCTGGTCCCGGAGTGATCAGACTCACCTCGAAGGCAAAACGCATCCGCATTTCCAGATTCTTGGTTGTATAAATTTCAAAAAGCGAAATCCATGCCTCCGGACTTATGTATTTTATATCCTTGGTCATTGTCGCCATGGTGCGGTCAACTACCTTGACATTGCCCACGTTGAAGAGCGCCAGGAAGATTTGGTACATCTGCTTCTTGGTCATTTTCCTTGCCGTAGGACCGTTCGCCTTAACGAACTTGTAATAGATCAGGATCAGGCAAGTAACTTCCGAACTTTTCAGACCAGTAGAGGCTGTCAGTCTCTTGATCACCGGACCATAGATGGCAGAGAAACGACTATGCTCCATAGGGTCCATAGATGCATCTAAATATGACATATTTATATTTTTTTATTCTTCGATTTGGCCCGGGTACGGATATTGAATTATTTTATTCCAGGACTATATTGAAAGTCACTCGATTTGATTATTTGCAATTTTTATATGCGCTTCTTCTTCAATCATCTAGAGATTCGACTTGTTATTTTTTTGTGGTTTTTATGTTTTATATTTGATGTAAAGTATATTTTATTAAATATTAGAAACTTGTAAATATTAACTTGTAACTTATAACAGTGTTTCGTGTAGTGGTTGTGGTTGTCTGGAGTTGTAGTTTTGAACTGAATAAATGAACGTTTCAACCTTGAATGACAAACATGATATTGAAGGCCTACTTGACAAAGAAATCTTAACATTTTATGTTATATGTAAAATTGCATAAAACTTTATTATCCAAATTTAAGAAAACAAAACCTGTAACGGTTTGGCACATGTCCTGAAGGTACTTCGATCTACTAACAGGCTCCAGCCGTGCTCAGGGAAAGTGGGAGTGGTCCTTGTACCTTCAGTAGGGACATGGTCGTCACGCGAATCGTCGTAGATCGAATCGAAGCAAAAGGGACTGGGAGAAGGATACCCAAATAGCATTGTGAGGGGGGGGATAACAAAAAAAAGGTTCCTTGCTGAAAGATTTGTTCGAGGTGGCTAAATGTTGTGGCTACATAGGTGGCGAGATTCTTCCGGTGCCCAAACAAAAGATCTATTACAAACTCATTTTAGTTAACGTTATAATTCTGGAAAATCTCTTATAAAAATAATTAACATAATTAAGTATTCATGTTTTACAAGAAGGTGGTTTTCATTAACCATAAGAATAAAAAGGTATCTAAATTATAATAATTCAAGGGTGATGCTTAAAGATAATAATTCAAATTTGGTGCTTAAGAATAAGAATAATAATCGCTTAAGAATTAAGGAAGTAATTAAGGAAGTATTAAAATTAAATAACTACATGATATTAAATGACAGTATTAAATGATTCAAGAATTGATAATTTTAATTTTAATTGAATTGGCTTAGAAATAATAATTCAGAAATTATAAAAAAAATAACATATATAAAAATTGATAATTATGGATTTTTAAGTTTTTTTTCTTTTTCATTTGGTAAACTTTACGTTAGGGTATTTGAATTTCATGGTTTCTTTGTCCCTTCGCTGGGAATAGTTAAGAATGTATTTACGTGGTTTTGTATTTTTTTTTATATAAAAAAAATACATAAAAAAATCCAAGACTCCACAGGCAGGGGGGAGGGGGTTGATGCTACCGGCGGGATTTTAGCGACGGGTCGTAAAAATATGATCCCTGATGCTTGGGGAGATCTCCTGTAGAAAAGCCTACCGTGGCACTGTGGTGCTCCCGTTGGATGGATGCCGGGGTTAGGTCAGGTGGTACCTCCAAATCCACTGGCATCGATGGTCATCCAACAGCAAAAAATCCGCTAAACGGGAAAATAAACACTAAGCCAATGCAGGGAATGGCGTGGAGCTTAATATTTTCTCACCTCTATTTAAAAAAAAAAACACACACTAATAAATATTTTTTTTTCCACGAGGTTGGGTCACTGGTCTTAGTATTATTCTGCACGAATTTAGTGGTCTGCCCGCAGCGAGATTTAGAGGAAAAGTGAACTCAGGTGGCAGACAGGAAATGCCACTTTATGGTTGTCACCTTTTGACAGGTGCATACGCGGGTGGGTGAATTCCAAAAAGGGTGCAGCTGAGGGGGGGGGTGAATGTCAGTTGGGGTCAGCTGAGCCTATCGATATCTATTATCAGCTGCATTGGGGTCTAATAGGTGAACAAGACCATATGTTATTGTTTTTGTTTACTATTTTTAAAAAAAATTTTTATTAATCTTTTATTTAATTTAGTTCAATTCCTCGGTCCAACGAGCGACCCCCACATCACAGGTTTTATTTTGGTATTCATGCCTAAATAAAAGCTGAAAAATGGTCGGCGAGTTGGAATTAGGCCTTCCAAATATCCTTAGCATGAAAATTGCCTAGATCCTTCCCCTTAAGATCTTCCAATCTATAAATGGCAGAGCCAACTTTTTGTTTTATCCTAGCTTTGATGCCGATTGGCCCTAATTTAGCATTAAAATTCGATGCCAAATTACTAAGCTGAAAATTTCGTTTAATAACCTCTTCCCCTATTTCAAACGATTTTGGTCTTGCTCTCAGATCGTAAGTCCTTCTATTTTTCGAGAATGCCCTTTCTAAGTATTTCCCGATATCAGCACGAATGTTTGTAAATTCGTCTTCCCTATCTATATGTCCTGCTCCACTATTTAACAAATCTAACTTCCTAAGCAACGTGTAATCCTTTCCATGCGTTATCATGTACTGACCAAATACAATACGATAAGGATCAGCTCCGACTGATTGATGTATGGAGTTTCTCAACGCGCAGTTTATACTGGGCAGGATGATATCCCACTCTCTTTGATTATGACGTACATAGGTTCGGAGCGCTGCGTTAATGGAGCGATTAACCCGTTCGGCGGCATTAGCTTGCGGGGCGTACGCCGCAGTGCAGATATGCTTAATACCATACTTAGTAAGAAATGCTGCGAACTCATGACTTTTAAATTGCGATCCATTATCACTTACAATGGATTCGGGAACTCCAAAACACGCAAAGATGTCATCCCTTAAGAAGTCGATAATAATCTGGGACGAAAACTTCCTAACTGGCTTGAGAAAAGTAAACTTGGAGAAGTGATCAAGAATGATGAAAATACCTATATTGCCTTTTTTCGATCGTGGAAAAGGCCCTATAAAATCTATATAAAATCTTTGAAAAGGTCGTTCACTGATGATTTGGCTTCCCATAGGTGGTCTTTGGCTATGATTTGGATACTTTGACGTCCTACACAATTCACATTTTGCAATATATTGCCTAACGTCTGAAGCCATTCCTGGCCAAAAGAAATTTCGTCGGATACGTTCCAAACATTTGGCTACGCCCCCATGTGCCGAAGAAGGCTGATCATGACTAGAGCGGATAACATCCTCTCGCAGGGCGGTTGGAACGTACAATTTCCAAACCTCATCTTTATTTCCATTTGTGGAAAAGCAATTTCGATGGTAAAGGAAATTGTCGATAACCTGGAAATCGGGTAATCCGGCTTCGATAAACTTTTCTTTTAGTGCCGTGTATTCTTCGGATTGAAAGGCACTTGACGTTAAATCAATTGTTGGTGAAAGCTCTAACTCAATTGCATTTACCACATCCTCTTCTTCGAAAGAACGAGAAAGTGCATCGGGAACTATATTCTGCGATCCCTTTCGATGTTCAATTTGAAAGGTGTATCGTTGTAATTTGAGTGCCCATCGGGCCAATCTACCACTAAGATCGGTCTGGTTCATTAACCACCGTAAACTGGCATGATCCGTAACAATTTTGAAAGGATGCCCTTCGATGTACATTCGAAACTTCAAAACTGCCAAAACAACAGCCAAACACTCTATTTCGGTTACGGTATAATTACGCTGAGCCTTGTTTAATTTCTTCGACATATAGGCAATTGGTCTTTCTATGTTGTTCTCATCTGTCTGAGCGAGTACAGCTCCCACTCCATGAAAAGATGCATCACATTGGACAATGAAAGGCTTTTCATAATTGGGGTGCATTAATAGAGGTGCTGAACATAGTCTCTTTTTTATTTCTTCAAATGCGGATTGAGCTTGCTCATTCCATTTGAAAGCCTTCTTTCCTAAGAGCTCCGTTAGTGGAAATATTACGGTGGAGTATTGGGATAAGAACCGCTGGTACCAACCAGTCATTCCCAAAAACCGCCTTAGCTGTTTCTGAGTACTGGGAACGGGAAATTCGGCTACTGCTCTAACCTTCTCAGAGTTGGTTTGCAACGTTCCTTCACCTACTATAAAACCCAAGTACTGTACTTGTTTCAAGCCAAATTGACTTTTCGCAACATTTATAGTTAACCCCGCCTTTCGAAGTTGGACAGCTACTTCGGCCAAGTGTTTCAGATGATCCTCAAATGTTGAAGATAGAACTAATAAGTCATCAAGATAAACTAGAACATGAGATTTCATACTATATGGAATCACTATATCCATTAGTCGACAAAGAGTCTGTGGCGCATTGGACAATCCAAATGGCATACGTTTGAATTGATACAACGGTCGATTGGGGACTGTGAATGCTGTTTTCGCTTTTGATTGAGAATCTAACTCGATTTGCCAAAAGGCATCTTTGAGATCAATTTTCGAAATACAGTGCACGGGTGGCAATCGACTCAACAAACCTTCTAATATAGGCATCGGATATGCATCTTTAATGGTGACTGAATTTAGTTTCCTTGCGTCTAGACAGAATCGAACCTTGTTTGGTTTTACTAGCAGCGTTACTGGTGATGACCAAGCTGATGAAGGTGCTTCTTCAATTACATCTTGTGCGATCATTCTATCAATTTCTTCACATAAAAGTTTTTCCCTGGCAGGAGATAACGGATAAAATCTCTGTTTAATAGGTTTGGCCTCCCCTGTATCGATAGAGTGTTCTACTAGAGAAGTTTTCCCTAATCCGTCTACCTCAAAGGACGGAAACGAATTTATTACTGATTCTAAACGACGTTTCTCCGAAAGAGAAAGGTGAATTTTGTCTTTTTCTGTTTCCCCTTCCGTTTGGTTTATCTCACTTATATTTCCCACTAAAGATAATGAAATTCCGAATTTCTTCCAGAAATCCATTCCGCAAATAACATCCTGATTTATTGACGGTACTATTAGAAACTCTATGTTGTCATGCCTGGTGTTAAACGTCAATGATACGGTGATCACTCCAGCGATATTCTGCATTTGCCCATCGGCGGTTTTAACCATCCCCTTTCGGGACTTAAAATTATTTTTCTCCGCCAGTATGCGTTTTGCTAAAGCACCACCTATTACACTTTTGTTGGCTCCGCTATCCAGCAGAGCTAAATATGGTTGACCTAATATTTGTATTTGTGAAAAGGGTCGAATGTCGTTATGCTTGTGTAAGAGTGATGAAATTACGACTTTCTTTAGCTCCCGAATGTTTTTAAAATAATTTTGAATGCGCTCAGCGCTACGACTTTTAACTCTTGAGGCTGTTAAACTGTCCTTACTTTCGCCGTCAGTTAGCAGCTTGTCTAAACGTATATGATAGGGAGTAAATTTGATAGGGTTTACGCTAAGTTCGTCTTCATCAAGTTCTGATTTGATTGGTTCCGAGACTTGAAGAGGATATTCGCTTAATGGTTTTGGCGAATATCCCGAGATCGGTTTTCCGACTCGGGATGACATTTCGAACAATTGGGCTTATAAGTGTTAATCGACCCACACCCATAACAAAATATGCGACGTGTTTTAAGACAATCTTGATAACGATGTCCTAATTCGTCACAGTTCCAACATTTGATTTTGTCCATCGAACGAATGGCACAAACTTCGTTTGATTCCTGGTCGCCTTCAAAATCCTCCTCCGTCTGGTTAATGAATTGAATTTCGTTAAGAGAAGGTCGAGTATTTGTTCGTGGGACGGCTCTATTACGAAATCCTTTGAAAAACTCTTCATGCCTGCGGCATTCAGTGCGTAACGCAGCCAAGGTTGGTGTTGGAACATGCAACAACTCGTGTTTCAATTCCGCCCTAAGATTATGTCGGACCTCTTCCGTTATTTCGGAGTCAGACAACGGATCCCTTAATGCGTCCGCAATCCCTAACATCGAATCTAGGAAGTCATCAAAGGTTTCTGTATTTCCCTGCTTCCGACGTCGTAGAGATTCTTTGATATCGCGGTCTGATCGTTGATCTTGATATCTTTCCTTTAGTCGGTCACACAAACAAAACCAGTTGGTGAGATCGGGAGACCGATGTACTCGCCAATAAAACTTCAATGCCGGACCCGTAAATAATAAGTTTGCAAATTGAAACAACAAATCATAATTTCCATCTAGACACTGATTGGTTAAAATATTCACTCGATATATAAAATCCTCGATAGGGATTTCCCCATTTGAACCGCTAAATTTGAGGTTCCAGTTTGAAATTACGCTAGATACCCTATCTGGTCTGTCTGCTGAGTGATTGCTTAAACGATTTCTTGACGGAGCATTTTCTCGGAAATTATCGCGAGGTGGGTTACTCCTAGATACAAAACTGGGTACTTCATTATCCCATTCGAGTGGAATTTCACCCCGTGATCCTCTACGACTTGGACCCAAATTTAAATTTGCCATTGTGGCACTAATTTGATTAGATATCGACGCTGCCAAGCTCGACATCTGATTTTCTAAGGCCCCTGCTATTATTTGGTGTACCCGCTCTTCTGAGACGCCGTTGCCAGCCGAAGAACTTCGCGTATGGTTAGCCCTTTCGGGATTCTGCATGGTATTCCGATTTACCCTGGGAATTGTGGTGGCAACTCGATTATTACGAGTGCCCTGCCTGGTCTGAGGACGTGTACGCGGAACGGTGCCTGTACGAGGACTATTGCCAGTCGATGGCACTACATCGATCAACTGTCGGGCCTCACCTGCTTCAGGATTCCCTAATTCGCTTCTACTACATGCTCTTCTGCAGAGTGGACAAGTGGCGTTGGTTTCAAGCCAAGTTGTGAGACACCTCAAATGGAATTGATGCCTACATGTGGTTATAGTCCATTCTGCTTCCTCATTAGCTTCATTGCAAATGGTGCAAGTAAGAGATTCCCTGGGCTGTGACAAAGCGGGGATATTTTCAAGACTTCGTCTAACCGCCATGATATTGATCGAATATTATAATTGTTACTTTAAGTTTGCCTGATAATTTTAGTGGGGTAATGGATGTTTTGTTACGTAATTAAATTATATATATGTATCGGTATTGTTGATCGGTAAAGGTAAATTATCAATTTTCGTTATCAAACTATTATTTATAAATTTTTATTGGGACTTATCCTTCAGAACTCTCGCCATATTTTATTTTTCCTAGCCAAGGAACTAAAATTATTTATTTAATTTCAAATGTCTTATTTGGAGAGGGCAAAGCTCCGTTCGCCCAAAGCTGTACCATCTCAATCCAAAAATGACCAAAAGATTCTAATAAAATTTAAATTAAGTTCTTCCTTGAAGAGTTCTCCGCTTCCAGCTTACGAAAACAAGAAAAAATCTCAATTCAAGTAGAAATATAAATGTAAAACCGGAATGAAAAATTACTACTGGAGTTTCGCTTGTTTTTTTTTTTTTAAGAGGAACAGACTCCATACTTGCGAAGCCTGAGCAATCTCAATTAAAAAAAAACAAAATACCAAAAACAAATACTATAGAAGTTTGTTTGATTACCTTTCTTGAAGAGGGACACACTCCCAGCTTAGGAGCATGAACAATCTCTATTCAAAAAAAACTAATCAAAAGAAATTAAAAAAAATTGACTTTGGATGAAATAAAAAAAATACTATTTGGGGTAAGAAAAGGTTAAAGGAAATCGGGCATTGCAACTTTATATTTTTCGAATATCCTTAAAGGATAGTTAAAGCCGCGTCATGCCCCACGTTGGGCGCCATAATTCTGTAACGGTTTGGCACATGTCCTGAAGGTACTTCGATCTACTAACAGGCTCCAGCCGTGCTCAGGGAAAGTGGGAGTGGTCCTTGTACCTTCAGTAGGGACATGGTCGTCACGCGAATCGTCGTAGATCGAATCGAAGCAAAAGGGACTGGGAGAAGGATACCCAAATAGCATTGTGAGGGGGGGGATAACAAAAAAAAGGTTCCTTGCTGAAAGATTTGTTCGAGGTGGCTAAATGTTGTGGCTACATAGGTGGCGAGATTCTTCCGGTGCCCAAACAAAAGATCTATTACAAACTCATTTTAGTTAACGTTATAATTCTGGAAAATCTCTTATAAAAATAATTAACATAATTAAGTATTCATGTTTTACAAGAAGGTGGTTTTCATTAACCATAAGAATAAAAAGGTATCTAAATTATAATAATTCAAGGGTGATGCTTAAAGATAATAATTCAAATTTGGTGCTTAAGAATAAGAATAATAATCGCTTAAGAATTAAGGAAGTAATTAAGGAAGTATTAAAATTAAATAACTACATGATATTAAATGACAGTATTAAATGATTCAAGAATTGATAATTTTAATTTTAATTGAATTTGCTTAGAAATAATAATTCAGAAATTATAAAAAAATTATATATATAAAAATTGATAATTATGGATTTTTAAGTTTTTTTTTCTTTTTCATTTGGTAAACTTTACGTTAGGGTATTTGAATTTCATGGTTTCTTTGTCCCTTCGCTGGGAATAGTTAAGAATGTATTTACGTGGTTTTGTATTTATTTTTATATAAAAAAAAATACATAAAAAAATCCAAGACTCCACAGGCAGGGGGGGAGGGGGTTGATGCTACCGGCGGGATTTTAGCGACGGGTCGTAAAAATATGATCCCTGATGCTTGGGGAGATCTCCTGTAGAAAAGCCTACCGTGGCACTGTGGTGCTCCCGTTGGATGGATGCCGGGGTTAGGTCAGGTGGTACCTCCAAATCCACTGGCATCGATGGTCATCCAACAGCAAAAAATCCGCTAAACGGGAAAATAAACACTAAGCCAATGCAGGGAATGGCGTGGAGCTTAATATTTTCTCACCTCTATTTAAAAAAAAACACACACTAATAAATATTTTTTTTCCACGAGGTTGGGTCACTGGTCTTAGTATTATTCTGCACGAATTTAGTGGTCTGCCCGCAGCGAGATTTAGAGGAAAAGTGAACTCAGGTGGCAGACAGGAAATGCCACTTTATGGTTGTCACCTTTTGACAGGTGCATACGCGGGTGGGTGAATTCCAAAAAGGGTGCAGCTGAGGGGGGGTGAATGTCAGTTGGGGTCAGCTGAGCCTATCGATATCTATTATCAGCTGCATTGGGGTCTAATAGGTGAACAAGACCATATGTTATTGTTTTTGTTTACTATTTTTAAAAAAAATTTTTATTAATCTTTTATTTAATTTAGTTCAATTCCTCGGTCCAACGAGCGACCCCCACAAACCCAATCAACATTATTTTTTTTTTAACAAAATTAAATTCATAAACCTTTAACCTTTAAGCCAATGCTCACATATATTCTCTTATACTTTTTACCTACAATAAGACAATCTGTATAACATATCTGGACAATCTAACTATTGTCCACAACATTAAGTATGGTATCGAAGTTGATGCAGTGGGCCATAAGGTCCTTATCGTCTCTAGATGGGAAAAGCCATCCTAGGAATTCAACTAGAATGGGTTGCTGGGATACCACCCCAGAATAATCCTCATAGGAGATGACACCATCTTTGTCGGTATCGAACTTCTTCATTATGAACTCGGTCATGTCCTAAAATTAATATATGTATCATTGATAATATCAGTACCTTTTTAATCATATGGGTTATGTGGCTCACCGCTTTGAGTTCGTTGAGTTCGTCCTCGTCTTCGCCATAAAAGAACTTATCACAGGCTATACCAACTTGTTCCCTATCAATGACGCCGGTGCCCTTGGTATCGTAGACCTGAAGCAAACGGCATTATAAGAAATGTAGCAGATGAAATAGAATCTGACTTACCTCGAAGGCAAAGCGCATGCGCACATTAATATCCTTGGTAATGTAGAGATTGAAAAGCGAAATCCAGGCCTGAGGACTCACATACTTATTGTCCTTGGTAATGGCCAACAGAGTGCGTTCTATGATTTGGACATTGGCCACGTTGAAGAGCACCAAGTAGAGCTGGTAGAACTGCTTTTTGACCATCTGCTTGGCCCCGGGCCCGTTGACCTTCGCAAACTTGTAATAAATCATGAGCAAGCAGTTGACCTCCATCGGGGTCATATTCACAGAGGCGGCAAGATCCTTGATCAGTCCGCCGTAAATGGCTCCAAAACGGCTGTTCTCCATGGTGTCAATAGTGGAGTCTAGATTGTCCATGATGTCCGTTTACTATTGTCTTCTAAGGCGGAAGTGTTCGTATTTGTCTTGAGTGTTAGAGTTGTGGAAAAATTTCTGTTACGCTCCGAGTTTTTGAAATGAATACCTTGTAGAATTTTGAAATACTTTCAACTGCCTACTTTATGGGAATTGAATTGTTCCCGAGGATTCCTCGACCTCACAATTTGTCTTGCTTAACTTAATTTATTCCCTAAGTCTCTTGCAAATACCAAATACAAAATGTATCAATCAAAACTCCACACAATACCCAGCCCAGCTCCCTTTACACGGGTCGCTTGTAAATCCGCCAACACTTGGCAATGTCAACTTTCGGAGACATTAAGGAGCGTGAATCCTTGCGGCCTTTCGCCTTCTTTTTTCGGAGGTTCCTTGCCTTTCGTTTTATTGTTATTATGCCATGTTGAGCGGTCTTTTTTGGGGGTAGGTGTGGAATGCGTGTATGTGGCATACAATTACACAACACAGGCAGGGGTCGGAATGGGGCGGAGTAGGGTGGGGCACTCAAACATTTGTTACCCCAAACAAAATGGCTACACAGCCATTTCCGCCAAATTTCCACATGGAAGGCTTTACACCCATCTCGGCGCTTTTGTTTGGATTATTATATTCGCGTTTCTCATGCGCACAGCTTTGAGCCATTCATTCTTTCGGTTCCAGCCCTTCTGTTCCGCCCGCTCCAGTTTTTTCGGATGCGGAGGATTGTTTCAAATATTTATTCGAAATCCTCAGACCGAAATGGGGGACAGATGTAGTCCGTGTAGCGTGGCTGATGTATTTTTTATGTCGCGGCCTTGTTTTTATTGCTTTTAAATTGCGCTCGTTACATTCTTGGGCGGAACAGAGAGTCTTACCCAATCTATTTGTAATTTGTCTCAGTTCTGAGCCGGGTGCTGGCTCAGGCATTCTTTTTTAAGTAGGCCTGTAGCACACACGTTAATCATTTTTGGCACTTTCGACACTTTGGGTTACTCAAAATTAACACAGCATGTAGACAAACACTCCCCACACACTCCACAACACACATACCCCAAAAAAAACCCAAAAAAACCAAAAAAAAATAGATAGCTAAATCAGTGCAAAAGAGGATAGCCACAATGAATCGCATCGACCTCACCATGGACGATATGGCCAATACAAAGTTCCTAACGCTGTACAATAGCCTTTTCAAGACCTTAGCCTCCTCGACCGACTTCAACTACAACGAGGTGGTCAGCCTTCTGACCGTCTTCTACAAGTTTACTCTCCACAACGGTACCCGGGAGATGTCTACTCGCCAGATGTACAACCTATGCCTCGTGATGTTTGACATCTTCGACGTGCAGATCATCGATCGCATCTCGATGAACATCACCTCGGATGGGCGGTTCATCTCGCCAGAGGCATGGATGAAGGTCTTTGGGGTATTTCTCAACGGAAACCTGGAGGAACGCATGCGATTCGCTTTTAACGTATGACCAATAATTACTTTTTGATCTTAATGAATATATATTTGAAATCCTTTCTCTGGTAGGTGTATACAAGTGCTGGCACTGTGTTTCTAAATCGTGAGGTGGTTGGCTTTGCCATTGAAAAATTCTTTTACGGTGACGATGACGACGAAGTCAATGAATTGCGAGCAGTGAGTCTGTAAAACAAATACTTTAATTGTATAATTTAAAAATAAATGTCTTTAGGACATGGTTGAGTTTATATTCGGTAAATTCGACCACGACAAGGATGGCGTAATTTCATTCGATGAGTATGCTGCGGTTGTCTCGCGGCAGCCCGGCCTGTTGGAGTTTCTGGGAAAGATATATCCAGATAATCGAGATAAAGCATTGATTGCCTACTGTCACAATATTGAGTCTCTATTTCCGTCAGAAGATTAACGTCGAATAAAAATATATTCTTGTGGAAGAAATTCGGGGTGTTTTAAGTTCTGTCATTGCATATTATATTTTATGGCACCCCTAAGGATACTGCGTATAATAGCACAAGTGTTGAAAATTGGCGCTTGGAGAAATCCAAGCCGGCTTACAATAAAGTCATTTTCTATTAAGTACACACTGGGAAAAGTTGAAATTGCCTTCCCAAACTGCGACTGCCACTGCGGGCTTCTAGCATTGTTTCGTTATTTTTATTTTTGGCAAAATCTGTGTCTTCTCTTCATGTTCAACTCCTTCAGACGGTGCGGGATCTTTTGTTTGTCTATTTTGCGGCTTTGTACAGCAATTAAATTTGCGCAACACATGCGGGCTGTGCTGCCAGAATTGGGGGAAACATACAGACCCAGCTAAATTCTAATTAAGTCCCCACAAAAATTATGCTCATGGAGGCTGGAGATGAAAGGGAAATGGATTACATGCCCTAATAACTAAAGTCTAATCGGTTAAATGAAAGAACCGCAAAAAAATACTACAAACTATACTCTTTCTCATGCTTTATATTGTTTAATAAATACTTAATTTAATATTATTGATTATTGCCCCTTTAGGCCTTGAATATTTCTAAGCTCTCTCTTGTTAACTGGTATTTTGTGGAAATTCACTTTCCACCGACAGTTGGCAGCAATGCTTAAGAACAGCCTTGGCATGTTTTATTCTGCGGTTGCCTGGTTTTGGCATTGGAGATGCCACAGATTTCCATCTATCTATCTATCTATCAGCCCTTCTGCGTTCAACGGGGCGTATGGGTAACGAAATCGAATGAGAATGAGATCTCAAACTTGGCCATCGACTTTTGTTGAGCAATCAGTGAAATGCCAGAAATCAGATTGCCTGCTACAACCATTTGGTGACCCAGAGTCATTGACACGCCCCTTTTTGGGGGCATTGGCAGGGCATTAAATTCAGCGCGTGACTCTCAGCCCCAGACATTTGTTGCTGGCCCAGCCCAGCGAGTGCCACAAACAAGCACCAGTCGGCAAAATGAAAAAGGATCTGAAAAGACTCAGCAGAAAGCATGAAAAGTGACCGCGACATCCAGCTGGCACTTCTGGCCCATTCCCCTTGTTTTTTCACTTTTTGTAGGGTTCAGAGTTCGTCACGACTTTGCCACTTTGCTTCCAAAGGGTCCTTGGTTTGTTGTCCTTTTTTCAGCATTAACACGCGGCCTCCTGTTGCATTCCAGTTAAAAAGCGGGGGTTCCCCCTCACCTCCTATTACTTGGCCCGTATGCCTCGAGTGGGTTCTCGCCAAAAAAACAAAGCCAAAAAGCGAAAACGCAAAAGGGCAGCAACAAATTGAGTAAAAACAAACATGTTTCCCACATTTGTATTCCTGAACGCTGGCCCACACATGTATCCTGCTGTTATCCTTTCGCGTTCGTCAGTTCATTTATCGCAGCCCAACTTTTGACTGGCAACGGTTCCTGGTTCTCTTTTTCTGCTTTTGCTGGTTGCAGTAAATCTTGCGGTGCAACCGACTGGCATTTTTATGAAGTTATACCCTGAACTGGAGCTGCATGCCACATTCCTCTTGCCCCATATCGCATTAACACACATGCCAAATGAAAATGTGCATTTTCCAAATGAAATGACCGCTGGGAATTTGTGGATGTTGATGGGTAAAGTGGAATTCTTTTTTTAAACATTACTTGAAATGATTAAGTCTAGAGTGTGTAGTTAGTCATTTAGTTTAATAAAGTTCTTTATGGTATATTATGGCAGGCAAACAATTTTAGTCTGTATAAATGTTATTCCTTGTAAACTTAAGGGTCCTTTTAAAGACACCAGATCGTGCCAAATCTTTAAATGTTGCTTGTATTTGATTTTGCATTAGCCATTAGAGATGAAAACAAACAATTTGAACACAAAGATAAAAATCATAATGCAAACAAATTGCCTTTTTAGGATTCAAAGTGCCGACAGAGTCGGAGTCTAATGCGTTTATGCCTGAAGGGAATCAGCGCACTCAAAGGGAGAAGCGGATTTCATTGCGGCATGGGGAAAGGAACAGAGGAAAGGACATGGGGGAAAATGCGCATTTTGCTTTTGCTTTTGCCTTTTACGATAACGATAACAATGATAATAATAATCCGATTCGCATAACATCGGGCCATATTGGGAGACACTGGAATAAGGAGAAGGCAGAGGTATCTGGCGACCTGGAATCGGTTTGATTGTCACATTGTCATCATCTGCATATTAAGTACAAGTGATTACACTCTCGCTTTTGGAAGATGCTCACGGACAGATACAGGTGAGCACATGTCCTTGGCTTGGCACCCCCCACCCGTTCCCCGGGGAAGATGTGTGCTGCATTGAAAATTCGGCATTTAAATCTAACCAAGCAGGAGGGAATAAAAAACGCGCACACAAAAGCCAAGCATCTACCAGATACATATGTATCTTTTGTTAACGAGCACGAATCGGGCCAAATGTAAATGTTTTCCAATGTGCTGAAGACCTAGGGGAGGCTGGATGGCTGGCTGCCTAGGATGGGATCTCAACACGTTTGACACAACAAGGAGAGAAATCAAATCAAATCGGGTTTTTGGCTGAGAAAGGAACGGAAACGGAATCCATTTCAGGCACGTGAAGTCGTTTGATTATCCTGGTTTTTGTGCAAATAATACTCATCTGAGACTCTTCAAGACAGGGACCCTGTGTATTGCTTAAGCTAAATTGTATAAATATACTCCATAATCTCTCACGTGGCACTCAAGAGGAAAAACTCATTTGGCGCAACACAAGTTCCAATTAAGTATGACCAACTTTCTCAAATGACTAGTGCACTTCCCGACATACAATATATATAGTGCTCTGTGTATAGTCGAGTATATACAGTTTCGTTTTCTTTGTTCTAGGTCCGGAATTAAAACTAAGCACTTCGAAGCACACAACCCGCATAAACAAAAGTCAGACAATTGGGAGTGCAACTCGAAAGGGGGATCGGAAAGCGAAGTCTGTGGCAGGAAAAGCAAACCGAAACCCCGGCCTCGCTTTTTCTCTGGCTGTGTCTTGTGTCTGTGTGGAAAAGTCGTACTTGAAAAATCGTAAAATTGAAATTATAATTGCCACTGCAACTGATTCGCAAAAGGCTCTTCCTCCGCTGCGGTCTGCCACCGAAGATGCTCTAATTACGCCCCTAACTGGCGGGAATCATTAAAATGCTTGTCAAATAATAATTGCTCGCAAACAATTCATTTCAGAGCAGCTCTAGACAATTCGCTTTCATAATTGTTGGGGTTTTCGAGCGTTCACCCAAAGAGCTGAGAATTCCAACCTCTTTTAGGTGAAACTCCAAAGAACTTAAGCTCCTAACCGGCTTTAGTTGGCTGGCACTGGACGAGTTCATGTGTCTGCCGGATATACAGACAGCGCCAAAAATATTTTCACATTTTTCCACAGACCCCAGGACAAGGATAAAACCCTTCTCTAACTCCCGGGCCCTACGGCAGCCACACTGCCCCAGATAGATTTCATTTTTTTGTTCCGTGTTTCGGGTTCCGATCCGGTCAGTTGTTACACTCTGTTTTTGTACGTTGACATTTTTGCTAAATATTCAAAAAGTTTGGCTCGCACTGGTTTCTGACCAAAATGTTTTTTAGTTCTTCGAGCATGTGCATTTTTATACCACATCCGAATGTTTGTCGAACACGCCGTGCTTTTTGAGAGAACAAATCAGGATGATGGCTTTTCTGTTTCCCGTTCGATAGTTTTTAGCGACGCTGCCAGGGCAATGCGACCCTTGTTAGCCCGAAGCTTAGTCCTTGAATGGAAATTTAATCTCAAATGGAAGCAATGGCCAACATTCAAAAGTGTCTATTGGTTATTAGAAAAGCAGCCATTTAAAGCCTCAAAACCCATTAGACCCACACATTCTTAATCCTCTTTTCATTAATTTCTATATGAATAAATAGAAATAAAATCCGAGTGTTCGTACTGAATTTTTTATTAAAAGACCAAGGCTCCAGTGTACAAATTTCCAACTACATTTCAGGTGAAATTCAAAATATTTTTGTTTATAAACTCAATAGTTCACTAGTTAATGGACATTCCTGTCAATATTTGTAATAACCTCCCACAGCAAAGACTCTTTCTGAATAGCAACTCTTTAGCAAAAATTTATTTGGCACTTCGGAGTTATCAACACTAACTACAGCAGCACTTTGGTTTTCGAATTATTATTAAGGACTCAAAATCTATAAATTACACAAAAGCCAATCTCGGAATTAGGAAATTGTTTTGCACTTCAGTCTCTGGTTGTGTTTGGTATCTCTCACATGCGTGTTCGATAAGGAATCCCAAGCAAACAAACATAAATGTATCTTTTCTGAAAGGAGCAAGTATGTATGTTGAGTCGTGGTTGGAGTCTCTCTAGGAAGGGGACACAGAAAATAATTTTAAAAGATTTAAGTTTTAGTTTTTATTAAGTTTGCATTTTAAGCTACATATCATAAATTTATATTTACGTTTAAATTATGAAACATATCTAATTTTTTTTTCACAATTTTTGTTAGTTCTTAAGTTTTTGTTTAGTAAAATTTATAATTAATATTAATAAATATTGGTCATTGGATTGTCACATTTTTGTTCACTGCACGTAAACCGAAGCAGGCGCTACAGGGACATGGACCAAAGTGTTTGTTGCATGCAACTGATTGCAAGGGATTTTATGGCTGCTGCTACTGCTACATCCTACCCTGTCTCTAGACTAGCCTTCTGGCCTGGCAGGACGATGCAAAAATCCACAACAGCCGCTGCCGATCGCAGGAGCTGCAACAACGGCAACAGCAGAAACCGATGCAATGCTCAAGTGCTGCAGCTTCCAGAGGGTGGGGTGGAAATGGTTTTAGGATTGGTATCGGGAATGGGAATGGAAGTGAAATGTCTGCAGGGCTTCCTTGTTGCCACAGAAGGTGTCGCTGCCTGGCAGTGCCACGCTGTTGTGGCAAAACACGAGCCCGCATCAGCAATGGCAATGGCAGTTGCAGCAGCAACAGAAGCCACTACAGCAGCAGCAACGGCAGTAAAATGTCGACATCAGCATTACATGCGAGAATAGCTCGACTGCGGATTTGCAGTTTAATGCCAATGCAACCTGGCAAGCCTCGTTGCAATCGGCAGGCAATCGGTGACGGAAATATGCTGCGGTCCCGTGTGATGCGGTTGCCATCCTGTCGGCTTCACCAACTCCGACGCCCTTTCCCACTGCACCAGATTAGCTTAGAGGTGAGAATCCAGGTGGAGGCATTTTCCTGAGCCCATCAGAGGCGCGGTTGTCTTCAAAACAGTTTGACGTTTTTATCCGCCATTCACCACAGCCATTGTCATAGGGTTTGGTTAATTGGGTAGAACTAAATAATCCTTAAAGGCTTATATTCGACATAGACAAGGTTCAAAGTAATATGCATATTTCAGGCAATGCTTTAACATATATTTTTATCAGCTTTGCTTTCGAGACTAGTTCTAGTCATCAATGAAATTGCCAAACTTGTAAATTAAAAATTGTAAAATGGAATTAGGTTTTTGTTGTTTTATGATATCCCTAATAGTGAGTACCATCAGCATTTTACGGAACAGGATATAACCCAAAGCCGAAACACAAGGAAAAAACTGAACAAGTTTTCCAATAAAATTAAAAGTTTGGCTCCATGCACAGATTTCGCAGATTTTACAGAATCCATTGAAAGTAGCAAATACAAATACTAACGAAAAATAGACAAAGGTGCTGGGGGGCAGGGAAAATGGGAAATGGCAGAATGGGCAGTGGTGTTAGCAAAGTTTTGATTGCCAATAAGGATTTACAGGTGATAATACAGCATAATCTGGCCACGTTCCACGTGCCGAAGCGGCGTTGGCAGGGAAACATTCTGTTGGAAAATTGTATCTGGTATTTTGTAGTTACCTTGTGCTCGTTGGGCTTACCCTCGCTTTGGGAACTGCATGCGCGGAAAAGTGGGGAGCGAAATGCATTAAAATGGATTTTGAAACTTTAAAACTCAATTTCAATTGCACAGAAAAAGTTTCGTGGGGCGATTTGCATATTTACCTAAAAGGTAGCTGCAAAAAACAATATCACGCAGGAGTGTTGCACCTGGAAAAAATGAGTGAATAAAATCCTTAGATCCAGCTGCGATGTTCACAAATTAATTAGTTTCGCTTGTCCATGGGACTTGACTCGACATAAACTCCAGCTGTTGTCGCTTCTGACCTGCAAATTTTTGTTTTTTTGCAGGTTTTTGGTTTTTGTCAAGCAAAAAACAAAACGAAAACAGAAGAGATGCCCTCCTTTTTACGGACAAAGTGTAATAATTTGAGAAGCCATTGCGTCGCTGTTGGGTCGGAAAAATTCATTTGAGAAATTAAGTTTTCTCACGGACAACGCCGCGTCGCACCGTCGGCCAATGGGGCGTATGAGTGACCTGATTCCAACTTCTGTCTGCACTTAATTACAAAATGAGAATGCATTCAACGGCTGTGCCAATGCCAGAGCCAGCTACAACAACTCCAACAAAGTCCGCGCAAACAAATTTTAATAATAAAATTCCGTTTGCAGGAGAGTTTGGGTGTCTCCAAGGAACGTGGGGGCAGTTCCAGTGCAAGGAGTCAGGAGTCAGAAGTCGGGTGTCGGAAATCAGAAGTCATAGAGACAGCGCATCTGTGTGAATGAAACTGCGTGATAATTAAAATCAAAGCCATTCGAAGAAGTCAAGACAAAAAAAAACGCATAAGAAAGGGTAACTGAGGTGCAACTTGAATATTCAAAGGTGGAGCTGGGAAGCCATAAGCGCTTTGTTTTCAAACATTATTGTAACCCGAAAATGAAAAACTTGAAACCCAGATCCACGACTCTAAAGAGTCATAGGTCAGGACGATTGAATCCTGGGAGTGGAGGGTGCTGGTATCAAAACAATGAGGAATAATTAAAATTCACCCTCAAACAATTTGTACGCTTTGGCGGAAGTGAACGTTGGCGAAGGACCCTACGGCTGGGTGGTTGTGTGCGTGCCAGGACGACGGACACATGCTCATAAATAAATTTATGTTTGCCGAAGTGTATTGGGCGTGCTGGGCAACATTGGATCCTTGCTCCTGGTGCCAAGTTCCAAGTTCCAGTTGGCCATAAATTTCTGGTTGTTGTTGCCCACTCCGACAGCTTTCAGCCAAGTCTACAGATAGGATAGCGGGCGACGGGGCGTGAAGGCCCCAGAGCAAGGATGTGTATTTTGTAATTACAAGGAATTCTATTTTATCATCCTGGCACTGCAGCTTGTGTGTTGGTAGCAGCTCTTTCGAGTTTTGTTTGCTGTTTCGACTAAATCAATTTGCCCAGGCAGAATATAGAAGCACTTTCAAATTAGCATCCATTTAATGCAGGCTTTAAGCGGCTTTTACCCAGCTGCCTTGATAATCATACTTCGCACTTTTCACAAAGTTAACCTTTGATTCAATTTATCAACTTCAATAAAAAGTGAGACAAAAAAATCAACACACACTCACACACAAACACCGCAAAAACCAGAGTACATAAAAAGGGAGCGCGGTGAAGACTTGGGCAAAGTTGCGCCTGCGAATCGCAAAGGACTAACGACATCCTTTGAACGCTCGAAAATAATCCCACAAAAACCGAGAGCTTAACTTTTTCAGAACGGGGTGAGCTCGGAACTGGTTGCATTCGCTTATTTTTTTGGCCAAAGCCCTTTTTTGCAATTTCTGTAGTTTAGCACAAAGTTGAAACGTCAACGCTGTCTGATTCTGATCGTGTGCCACCAGCAACAAAGGCAACATTGTCCTTTCTGATGGATGGATAGATGCACCGCACGAATGGATGGCAGAATGGCTATAAGGATGTATAGATGGGCAAAAGCCAACCAGCCAAGTTAACTAGGCTAAGTTGATTTCCCCTGCCGCGGCTTTTGAGGTTTTGCTTGTGTGTCATTGAGGAATTATCCATATGAATAACTATGATTTATGAGATAATCCCAGTTTATAAAATAACAGTTTTTCATTTTTCATTTACTTAACATAATATTGGCATTTAATAATATTATTAAATTATTGGCACCTTTAATCGAAACTTAAATAAGCAGGAAAGACATTCCTAGGGAATATGTTTTTGTTCCCAAAAAAAACTTCACTTTCTGTGTCCCCATTCTCCAAAGTCCCATGAATTTACTCGGCACTGGATTCCATCATCAATTTCTGTCGATAGATAAACAATGTTTACCTACACCAGAAACACAAGAGCTGGCACCCAAATGCAGAAGGATATCTGCCAATACATATGTATCTATGTACATATGAATGTATATATCCAATATCCAACAAGTCTGAAATACAATCACAGCTGGTACTCGGAAGTGGAAAGACTGTATTTATTTGTTGTAATAATATTAGTTTTTGCATTTATGTGCAAATGCGAGAAACATCTTTGTTTTGCTCATCTTTCACCGGACCTGAGCATCCTCGGAAATAAGATTAATGCAATTGGGAAATCCAACTTCGGCCAGTTGCTCCCGGTTATTTCGGCTTCTGTTTATTTTTGTCCTTGTCACGGAAAATATAGGAAATGATATATGTATATTTATTTGTGCGCTAGCATTTCATTAATTGTGTTTTCGACTATCCTGCAAGTGCCTTCAACATCTTCGCTGGGCAGCCGATTTATTAAACAAACAAGAAACTTTAGCAAATGGCTGTCTATGTGTAGATTAAATCATAGGAACGTATTTAAACCAATATTTCAATTGTTTTCCTAATTTACTTTTTATATGTAAATTACCAACCAACCATCAGTTTAACCATCGTCCCTTCCATGTATTATTGAGAATTTGGCTTTCTATATTTTTATATTTTTTTCTATATTTTAAAGCAAAATTACAAATATTCGACCTAAAAACCGTTTAAGGTATTCTGCTCAAAACCCTGATAATTATTGGTAAAGTTATAGGCTTTCCTGTGGAACATTTTGTAAGGGAATCTACCGTAAAGATTTACAATAAATCTAAAAAATATTTTGTGCTCAAATTTCGATGCAGATTTAAAAATAATCCATCCACAAATCGTTTAAGGTATTCCGCTCAAGAATCTGATGATTTTTGGCAAAGTTATGGTCTTCTCTGTGGGCCATTTTGTCCAGCCCAGCATTTTGCACATTTTGTCAGGGGATCCCCTGGAAAAATGTACAAAAAATCTAAAATATATTTTTTGTTCGGGTTTTGATGCAGATTTAAAGATAATCCATCCACAAATCGTTTAAGGTATTCCGCTCAAGAATCTGATGATTTTTGGCAAAGTTATGGTCTTCTCCGTGGGCCATTTTGTCCAGCCCAGCATTTTGCACATTTTGTCAGGGGATCCCCTGGAAAAATTTACAAAAAATCTAAAAAATATTTTGTGTTCGGGTTTTGACGCAGATTTAAAGATAATCCATCCACAAATCGTTTAAGGTATTCCGCTCAAGAATCTGATGATTTTCGGCAAAGTTATGGTCTTCTCTGTGGGCCATTTTGTCCAGCCCTGCATTTTCCACATTTTGTAAGGGGATCGCCTAGAAAAATTTACAAAAAATCTAAAAAATATTTTGTGTTCGGGTTTTGATACAGATTTAAAGATAATCCATCCACAAATCGGTTAAGGTAGTCCGCTCAAGAATCTGATGATTTTTGGCAAAGTTATGGTCTTCTCTGTGGGCCATTTTGTCCAGCCCAGCATTTTTCACATTTTGTCAGGGAATCCCCTGGAAAAATTTACAAAAAATCTTAAAAATATTTTTGTTTCGGGTTTTGATGCAGATTTAAAGATAATCCATCTACAAATCGTTTCAGGTATTTCAGGTATTATTTTATTCCAATAAAATAAAATCAAATTGATATATAAAATTCTTTCATTTTTATTTTATTTAGACTTTTTAGGAATTTGGTAAGGCCCAAATGCGCGAACATGCTCCCGAATTCGCACCGCATTAATGGCAATGAAGCCACCAGCGTCCTGAGGCACGTATCCCCCATGGACATCCATTGAGACTAGTTGCTCATTGTACAAGGCACCCACCTCGTCAGCAGCCTTTCGGGCGATGGCGCGGCAGTAGCCGGGAGCCAATTCCACGGTCACTTGCCCGGACACCCTCTCTTCCGCCAGTTCAATGCACTTGCGAACATAAATGGCCTCCGGACTAAACCAAAATCCATTGTACACATAGTCAGCCATGCGGTCCCTTAGGATTTGCTTTGTGCGAAGCACCTCCCGGTCCAGAGCGAATACCTCTAGGTCCTGGTGGGCCGTAAAAAGAATATTTCCACCCGGCGTCTCGTACACTCCTCGGGATTTTAGGCCCACATACCGATTTTCCACAATGTCAATCCGCCCGATGCCATAGGAACCTCCCAGTTTGTTCAGGAAACGTAGAATCTCCAGGGGCTGACTAAACACCTGACCGTTGGACAAATTCTTAACGCTGGTGGGCAGCCCCTGGCGGAACTCGATGGAGAGACGAGCGGGTTGACTTGGTGCTTGGGTCAGCGGATCGACGGTCATCTCGTACAGGCTGCTAGGCGCCACGGTATTGGGTTCCTCGAGTATCCCGGACTCGTAGCTGATGTGAAGAATGTTAGCGTCGGTGCTCCAGGGAGTGGCCGGCTTGGCACTCACCTCGATGCCGTGCTTTTGGGCGTAGGCGATAAGGTCCTGACGGCCCTGAAAGCGGCGACAGAACTCCTCGTTTCGCCAAGGTGCTATTATCTTAAAAATAAAAAGAAACCATTAATTACCTAATTCATTGTAAAAAATAAAGTTTTTAACAAATTAATCTCAAGTACCCGTAGCTTATCAGAATTGTGCTTTTTTTTAAAGAATATAAACTGGGTAATGATAAGGCAACAGAGCGTCTGTCAGTGGTTTTGCTTATCTATCAGCTTGACGCTGTTTGGGATCTTACACTCACTTTTAAGTCCGGCTGAAGAGCATAGGCACAAAGCTCGAAGCGCACCTGGTCGTTGCCTTTTCCTGTGGCACCGTGAGCCAGATACTTGGCGCCACACTGATTGGCTGCCTCCATAAGAGCCACACTGATGCAGGGCCGGGCTAGCGAAGTGCCCAATAGGTATCGCTCCTCGTAAACGAGACCCATCTGGATAGCCGGCCAGATGTAGTCCTCCACGAAAGTTTTCTTGACATCAGATACAATTACCTTAGAATGCAAATTATAGATAAAACAAAAGCGCTTTTAAAAATATAGGTTTAAGTCTATTTTACCTTTTTGGCTCCTATTTTCAGAGCCTTTTTCTCTGCTGCGACAAAGTCCTCTTTTTGGCCCACATCAGCCAGAACGCAGATGACATCATACTTCTGATCCAACAACCACTTGAGGATACAGCTCGTATCCAGGCCTCCAGAGTAGGCTAAGATCACAGTTTCTCCCGCCATGTTTCGTACACACGACTTTCTTCGTTTAGTGGTGCAAAGACACTGAAGGCCCGCAGATTCTGTGGAGCTAATATCAGTCTAATCGAGCGCAGCTATCAACCCACACGTGCTATCGCCAATCGTCACTCGGACTAGTGCTCGATTTGGCTGATAAGCGGCTTTAAAGGTCCCGAAAGCACACACTGTTTTAGCCCAAGTTCAAGTTGCGCGCGCAAAAATATTCGTAGCTTTATCGGTGTGGTGGCCCCGGTAAATTCAAACGAAGGAAAAAAAGAGAACGGTCCATAAACGGTAAGAAAGATTATTAAATATAGAATAGCAAGAATGCAAATTTTCTTAAACAAATTAATTACAATTTACAAATACAAAACTGAATTATTAACAGAGACTAATAGTTTTAATAGTTTTTGCTATAACATCGATATTTTTATATAGTCCGTTATCGTATTCGTTATTCGTTATCGGTTGGGTCTCGTTATCCGTTTTTTTTTAATCAGTTTTCAATTGATGAAAGTATGGGTCACGGTAAACTTAGTATTGATTTAAATTAAATATTGATTTTATCAATAATTCTCTTCAATATTTAGGAAACGTCTGGGAAAAGTTTCTGCTTGATGTCAAAGAGGCGGACAGACTCAAAAGCTTATCAAACGAAAGGGTTATAAACGATCTGAAGGAAGGGCTGAGCGTTAAAAATATCGACAGTACCATTTATGAATTTGGATCGCGGATTGTGGGCGTGGCTAATTCGAATTCTGATTTGGATCTTTATGTAGATATTGGTAAGTATTAATACCAGTAAAGCTTCTCCCAAATTCTTAAAAACGATTTCTTTGGCAGCTAACATAAATTTTATTTCTATACTGCAACCCGAAACTGTCAGGAGCAATCACAATAAAATATTTTCCGCCATTAAATGGAATTACTCGAAATGGGCCATTGTAGACAATTTATCATCCGTCAGTTGCCCCATAATTATCGCGAAGCATAAAAGTACAGGCCTCATGTGCGACATAAGCAGCTCGAGTCCCATGGCTGTTTACCAAAACTTTTTGGTTATCTACCTTTTTGAAATTCAACCAATTGGTAGTTGTGTTAATAATGCGTATAACTGGAAAATCTAACATAATTTATACTTCTAGCCAGGTACATGGTGATTTATGTGCGTGCGTGGCTCAAGAAACATGGTCTAGATGGTTTTCGGAGCCATATAATCATCTTGATGGTTATATTCTTTTTGCAAATTCGTGGAAAGCTGCCGGCCATCAAAAAACTACAAGATGGTCTCTCTCCAAACCTATACCGTAAGTCAGATCAACCTAATCATATAGTTATCAAAAATAAATTCATCTAACCATTGATAGCTTTTACAATGCATTTTGTAAATTATGACTTGGCCCATTTTAACATGAGCGAAATACCAATTAACAAAAAGGAGTGCAGCGATGTCCTTTTTGATTTTTTTAAATACTACTCTACATTCAACTTTAGCCAAGTGGCCGTGTGCTGCTATATTGGCATGGAAAAAACTTTCAAGGAAAGGCGTTTCTGCTTGCCGGATCGGTAGGAAGAAATATTATTCTCCAAAGCTTACTTATTTATCTTATGCTTTATACAGATTCCAAGATACATTATCGCATGAGGCAGCTGATGTAATGATTTATGATTTCATTAACGTCGCTGAGAACATAGCCGCGTCCATAAATGGACTTCAGTTAAATGATTTGCAAACAAAAATGGCCCAACAATTGCAATCAACATTTTTTTGATACAAAATTTGTAGGTCACTGAAAACCTAAAAGGTTTTATACACAAATAAAGTACAAATATCTTTTATGCGAATAAAAGATACAAATGGAGCCACCCCTTAGAATTTGCCTTGATTTAATTACACTTGACCCCGATGTTCGATTCGATTATCTGGGATGTCAGTTAAAAAATCGTGCTTCTTGGCGGAATCCTTGACAAGTACAGTAGAGCTTATCTAAAATAGTTATTAATTATTTTTTTTTATTGGGTTATTGAGTGTTATTGGCACTTTTATGCAAATAGATATAAGTTTCTTCAGTTAATAATAGTTTCATCTGACCTTTGACCACTGAGGTTTGACAGAACTTTCCCATTTCCACCACGATTCTGGATCGGTCAAGTTCGTAGGTTGTTCTCTCGCTTCAGTGAGCAGGCCTGATTAATTAATAAGTCTATTCTGAGGCATTTACATAGATTAAAATCTAAATGGGATAGTGAGTATAAAAGGAGCGGAAAGGACCGAAAGTGGGCAGGAAAAGGCTGAGATGCGTCCCCGATTGCAGCTCCGTTTGGGTAAACTCCTCGTTCTGGCATTTACCCTATGCACAGTCATAGTCCAGGCCACAGAGTAAGTATAAAAAACTTTACAGAATTAAACCGAAATCTATAAGTAATTTATAACTAGTAATAGTTACACCTGCTGATAACAAATCGAAATATTAGTTTATCTTTTTATAGATGGCCCTGTAGCCCAAACCCTGGGCAAGATGTCGAATCGGAGTGCCCGGACAACTACTTCACCTTGGAAGACACTCCATCGGGCTGCCCAGACATAAGGTTCTGCTATCTGGGGTTAAACCAGACCTGCAATAACAGCTTAACCGAGAGCCGGTGTGAAGTCGAGCTACGATGTCTGTGCAACAGGTGTTTAGGATGTGACGAGAATTTTAATTGTGTTGACATTCCAATGATATGCGAGGTAATTGAATTCCCAATGGAGGAGAAACGCATGTCCTACCGGCCACCAATCCGTGCACCTATTCACCCGCCGATCCGTGCACCTATCCACCCGTCGATCCACGCACCTATCCACCAGCATATCGGCATACCCTGGTTTCTGAGGCGTGGGCTTGAAAGACAAGGCCGCTATCCTCACTCATATACGAAAAAGACCTAATTCCATGGAGCCTGATACCCGAACCCAGCGCAGACCCCTGACTACCCTTCGCCAATGTTTATCAATACGATATTTTTAATGAATGACTATTTTAACCGCAAATAAAGGCCTAAGCATTGCAAATTGGTAATTTAATGAATAAGAAATACAGAAATAAAAGAATATATTTCCTCGGTAAAAATGCATATTTTGAAAATATGATATGACCGTTTCGAAGGCGTTCTAAAGGACCCCAATAGGGATGACACTTTTGTAAAAATAAAATTATCGGAACAAGGTGATTCAGCCATCTGGCAACTTTACGAACGTACCTAGCGCCATGGCAGCTCTGGACACCAATATCTGGCGTGGGTCTTAACAGCAAATATTTAAAATGTTTAATTAAACTTTACCGTAACAAAAAAACAATGAATTAAACTCTGTGAAGCGAACGACGAGGAAACAATGGCCGAGTGAGAGAATTGGAAAAGGCACCTGTAGAGGGAGAAACGATTGAAAATCAAGGACTGCAGACAAAAATCGATTTTTTCAGAGGAGGTGAGAAGTAATTCATATACACCTACACACATATCCTTAAACGATGTAAACGCTTTTAGGATGCTGCTGGACAAGGAACTGTAGACAAGGAGATTGTTAGCTTAGAAGGAAGCCCCGCCATGCCGGAGAATTTGGAGCTGCAGCAGTTCCAGGAGGCGACTCCGCCGGTTTCTGATCCTGCCCCCCGTTGGCTGGAGCGATTACAGAGTCGCCTAGGAGCCAACTGTCCCTACTTGGGTATCCTGCTGGCCACACTCTCGTCGCTGTTCTTCTCGCTATGCTCTGTGATTGTGAAGGGGCTGGTCGACGTAAATCCCATGGAGCTAGCCTCGTTTCGATTTGTTGGTGTGCTCCTTCCGGCACTACCCATCCTCATCTACACCCGGCAGCCGGTGTTTCCAGATGGCAAGCGAGTGATACTGCTCCTGCGATGCTTTATGGGCACAACTGGTCTGATGCTCAGTTTTTATGCTTTTCGGCACATGCCACTGGCGGATGCTAGCGTCATTATTTTCTCAACACCCGTTTTTGTGGCAATTTTCGCCCGCGCATTTCTCAAAGAGCCCTGCACGCTCTTTAATGTCCTGACCATAAACATGACGCTGGTGGGCGTGGTACTGATCACTAGACCGCCGTTTTTCTTCGGCGAACCGGCGGGAACCGAGGATATCCTGACCGGCAAATCGTACGATATATGGGGACCTGTAGCCGCCATCTCATCAACATTGTTTGGGGCCAATGTCTACATATTGCTGAGGGCTTTGAAAAATCTGCACTTCTCCGTTATCATGACTAACTTTGGCACCATCGCTTTGGTCTACACCTTGATTGTATGCGGATCCATTGGAGCAGTATGCTGGCCCAGCTGTGGACGTGACCGGTGGCTGGTGGTAGTCCTCGGCATATTCAGCTTCCTGGGTCAGATCTTGCTGACCTTGTCCTTGCAAATAGAGCAGGCTGGACCCGTGGCTATCGCCCGTTGCGCGGACATCGTATTCGCCTTCGTATGGCAGATGATATTCTTCGGCGAGACCCCCACCGCCTACTCCCTGGTGGGAGCATTCATGGTGATCGCTTCCGTGGTTCTCACGGCGCTCAAAAAGTGGGCCAGCACCCTTCCTCGCGAGTCCTCGCTGCGAAAGCGATTAAGGCTCGTCTTGCTGGAATAGTTCGACCAAGTCCAGGTCCCGGTCGGACCAGGAAGTTTGCGGTTTCTCCCCAGCTCTCACCCGAAATCACACCGACACTTCATACCATAACTCACCATTTCACCCTAGTCTTAGCATATATCAAAAAATCTGATCGTAGATTAATCCAACATTAGCGTCGTGATATTCAATCCACTAATCTTGAATTACTCGTAGTGCGTTTTTAGTTTAGCCAATTCGCCGATTTGTTGTTTTGTACATTGTTATACGTGCTTAAATATAATATTAATAATATAAATAATGGTAACAGAATTAAAAAGAATAAACCCTTCTTGTGAATGAATAGAAACTGGAAAAAGATTTAAAATTAATCCAGTTCGGAATGTTTTAAGGGATAAAAAAGCATAGGATACGCCAACAAAATAAAGATTTTCCATGCTCATTACCAAAAGCTAAGTTATTTTTATCCTCGCGATTCATAAACCAAATTCCTAATTTTTTGTGTTTCATCTGTGGAATTTTTAATAATTTAATCTTATTGTTATTGTTTTTAAATTTGTTACGAATTTAAACTAATATTGCAAAAAAAGAACTGTTATTTCTAGAAGTTTAAAAAAATCAAACTATTTCAAAAATATCCTTGACACTGGAAACCCCACTATTCGTTTTCCGTGCTGTTAACGCACTGTACATTAACATTAACATTTTTAGGGGCTTAACATTGTTTTGGTATTTTTTTTTTAGTATTTAACTGCAATGTTTTGTTTATGTCCTATTTAGAGTGTTTACCAATACTGGCTAGGAAAAGTTTGTTTACTTTCGTTTATTTAGGTTTTTGTCAAAGTAATACACGAGTTAAATATAAGTAAAGGCGAGACTGAAATTAATTAGAAACCCAGATCGGCGATAACCGCGTCCAGCTCGTCCTGCAGATTTGTGGCCCGCGATCGCACCTGCACAATTTGGTCCTGCAAATTGTCGACATTGGCTTGGTGCAGCACATTGCATTTTTTCATCGCCGCAAACCGGCTTTCGTGCTTCTTCACGCGAGGCTCCAGATTCGCCTTCTTGGCGGAGTTTGCTGCGTCCTGAAAACGGATAAGGGTGAGTCCATTGTTAGAGAAACCACGATATTAACAGCTCTGTTTTTAAAACTCACCTCTGGCTCGGATTCGCTGCCCGTCTCCGCCTCACTCGCCTCGGACTCTGACTCTTCGGACTCCTCCTCGGATTCCTCCTCCTCCTCGCTCTCGGCTTCCTCCTCGTCGTCGTCCTTTTCCTCGTCGTCCTTCTCCTCGCCGTCCAGCTCGTCTTCGTCCAGCTTCATCGAGGCGGCCATCTTCTGCACCTCCTTCTCCAGCTTCTTGAACTTCTTGTTCTCCTCTCTGTTAAATCGGACGTAAGATTGAATAGTATATTGGATAGTATAATAATAGATCTCATACTAACTTGAGGATAACATGGTTCTTCTTCATGGCCTGCTTGAGGGCGTCCTTCTCCTTCTTGGCGGCCTCTTCCTTGACCTTTAGCTTGGTGAGTTTGCTGCGTAGTACCTTCACTTCCTTGCCCATGCGTCGTTCCCGACGTTCCGTCTTCTTCTCCTCTGGCTCATCTGGATCGCTCTCACTGACCTCCGGTTCCAGTTCCGGTGAGCTATCGCGTCCGAAGTTGGCATCGCTGGGTCGCCGAGATCCGTCCAGTGATCCGCCGCCCTACATTCGCACGAAACATGGATAAGGAATGCCAATTAAAAGGATGTCCTCTGTTGGAGCCTGGCTTTACCTGGTGCGTGCCGTGCCGACCATGGTCGTAGTAGAAGCAGTCGTCGTCGTCATCGTCGTAAGCAAAGCAATTACTAATGTGCGGTCTGTTAGTGCTTGGTGTCGCGTAGCCCTTGCAAAAGAGCGCCAATGGGTTAATCGGTTAGTTGCCTGAGCTGCTGAGTGCTAGAGCAAAGCTTTCAGGGATGGGACGGTGGACTAGTGGGTGTCCATAACGGGTCATAGTTCCGCATGGGCCTGGGCGGAAACTGGGATGGGCAAGAGGTCATGCCGCATGCAGGAGTACTACTTCAAGACATCCGCACCCCAAGAGTTTCAGAACGAAAGCTTTCTATTTTTAAGTCGAAATGTAACTCAACACCAAATTCTATGTTTCAGAAACAAATTTTAAGTCTCAAACTTTTTTAAAACTTTACATCACGAGAGATTCTTTTGAACGAAGCCATACTAGTGTCGAAGGACAAGTTTTATAAACAAAGTCTTTCAGGGTTTCTTTCGGCTCATGTTTTTGAAATTCTAATAAAAATATCTCGCTTTAAAGTTTGAAATTCATTTAAAATTTTAATCTAAAAGCATAGTTTGCTAAAAACCCTTGGGAGGGATGCCTTCTACAGGATATTCTATTTCCAGAACCTTCCCAGACTTGTGTCAAGTGTTGTCAGCTGATCTGTTTCCTGCACTACAATGTACAACTAACGAGGGATATCTAAGTTGGTGGCTACTGTGCTGTGGCTTTGTTAGATTCTCCCGTCTACTTGCCGCCTCCAGCCGGGGCAGCTGAATCAGCAAGGCGGCGCCGGCGATTCTAAAATCAAGAAAGGAAGACTAGCTTCGGGGTCCGATGCTTGGAATACCCATGCAGATTGTTAGTTTAACCCAACTTTGGCATCTGCTAGAGTATTTGAGGGGGGGATGTTACTTTTGAATTAAAAATAGACCCTTAGACTCAACTGACAACACTTTTGGAGACCCCCACCCGCAACACAATCCCGGAACTTAGACCCTTGGAACTCAGAATACTAACCTGGAGGGCAGCTGCCAGCTTGCGCTCGAGCAGCTGGATCTGGCGGCGCTGCTCCTCGATTTCGGTCTTGGCCTCCACCAGCTGCTCGCTGGTACTCTTGTAGTTCTGTTCCACTTCCTTGGACACCTTGCGGGCGTCCTCCACTTCACGCTTCAGCGAGTTAACGTAGGACTGCTCGGCCGTGGGTGTGGGATCCATGGTGGCCACAATAACATTCGATCCGTACTCCAGGTTCTTTTCGCGCGACTTTTCACGCTCCAGTTCCGTTTCCAGGGTGCGGATCTTGGCCAGCAGTTTCTTGTTCTCTCGCTCCTGGGCCTCCCGATTGCGCAGTTCCAGGGAGAGCATCTGCTTGGTGCTCTGCAGGTCGTCGCGAATCTTGTCAATGTCGTCCAGTTCGTCGGGACTCTCCTCGTCGATGGACATCGCAGAGACGATGCTGGGCCGGGAACTGCCCGCGCCCAGAGCCGTGGCACTAGCCGGGCCCAGGGCGTGGCTGCTGGGCGCCTCGCTCAGCATGTTGACCTTCGACTGGGACTTCTGTAGCTGCTCCTCGATGGTCATCTGGCGGCGGAACTTGCGCAGACCGTCTAGGATGGGCTTGCTGCGATCGTTGGTCTTCGTGGGCTTCAGCCTTATGCCACCCTGGATCTGCTTGAGGAGCTTGTTGTGCGAGTTGTCCTTCTCCGTTTCGTAGATAAACTTGTCGTCCACCTTCGTCATAGACTTGCATGTCAGGATGGGCTGAGATCTGTGAAGATTAAAAAGAAAATCATGTACTTTAAAGATTTCTGAACTTAGATTTCGCTTCAAGATTGCGTTGTAATTACTTTCTAGCTGAATTCCATTGCGAAAAGCACTCACCTGTCGTTGCAGGCCACATGGCGCAGCTTCTTGCCGCTTTCCACCTCCTTCATCATCTCGGACCAGTCCGGACGCCTTCGGGGTCGTGTTCTGCGAATCGAAGCATTTCAAAATTATGGACATCCTCTAGCTGAAAGCCGCGACCCGAGACCCGAGTTCGGGGGTCAGCGGGTCACCCCTCCCTACATCCCTACCGTAACTCACCTGAGCTTCTCGAGAGTCTGTTTCTGGGTATCGCTGAGTATGCGCTTCTCTCCGGGCGCTAACGGCGGGGGCGGCGGTGGGGGAGCCTTGGGCACCAGCGAGGGCAGCGGCGGTGGGGCGGGAACTGTAACAACAAAAACACGAAATGCACCCGCGGGGGGGCCGGGGGTTATTTTTCGTCAGAGTAAGGAGCTGTTGTGGTTGTGGAGAAAGTGGGGCCGAGGGTTGGTCGCTGGGCATTAGAGCAAATCGCTGGGCGCTGGCGCTGCGTGCACTCGCGGTTATTAAATATAATTTTAATTTAATGAGTTTGCAATTTGTGTCAGTTGTTTGTTGTTCTTTCCTGAGCTCCCGCTGATTTTCCATTCCCCCTCCCCTGGTCGCTCCCATATTTAGCAGTACTTTGCGAGCAAACTTTCTCCATACATATCAATAGAGGTTGCAGCTCAAATTCAGAAAGTGCCAGCATTAAAGGCTCTTTTGCACTGTTGAAATTATTTTGGGAAATAATAGGCTTCCGTTGGAGCTTTCTACACTAAGACATTAATTTTAATCAAGGATGTCGAACCAAAATAACAATATTTGTTATTAAAGCTTAATTTTTAGAGACAACATTAAGCCTAACTTCCCCTAAAGCTATGTATATACAAGAACTAAGTCTATCTTGTACTGAAAATAGACATCTATTTGAGTGTAGAGTGCCTGGCACATGGGCTGTCTCTGTCGGAAGTTGCAGCAGAGATTGAAAAGTTAGTGCCGCTTCTTCAGGACCCCTACGAACCTGGCCCTGGTCCTGGCTTTGATAGTGTTTTATTGCCTTAACACCATTCAATTCGGTCGGTGGTGGTGGGTCGGTGGCACAAAACTTTGATTGCATTTTTTACTTTGTCGGGTTGCGCCCGACTGGCTGGATTTTAGTTAGTTTAAAGTCTTCGTTCTGTGACCAGGTCCCGAGCAGGTCCTTTGCCCTTTTCCTAGCAAGTTACTTTTTCTTGGTCGTGTTCGTCTTGGTTTTCTGTTAACGAGGCCAATTAGGGCGACTACTGGTGGACTCCTGGGTCCTTGCAACCGGCTGTTTCTAATAAATTTCCGCTTAAATTGTTGGCCTAACAACCTTCACTGGCCGGACTGCCTCTGCCCCGTTCCTCTGACCCTGTTTCCCTGGTCCGTCTCGTAATTAACAATTGAAAAAGTTTTCCAGCTTCGATTTTTTTGTTCGCCCTCTCACACACAGGCATAAATCAAAATATATATTTTTATTCACTTTTTTTTATCGAATACTTTGCATTTCATTCTTTGTCTCTTTGGGCTTTGTTTTTGTTGAAAAAAGTGTAAAAGTCAAACAAGAAAAAATGAGAAGAAAACAATGGGGGCACTGCCAAGTGATGAAAAGCTGACAAATCTGTTAATTAGCTTTGTTTGAGTGAGCCCTCGCTGACAGGGGGAATGGCTGCTGGGTGGTTTTTGTGTGGGTGCTGTTAAGCCAAGGCCACCACCTCAGCTTTATCCTTTGTCTGCCAGTCACCCAGTCTTCCAGTCTGAGAGACTGTTTCTGAGAGACCCAAGAGGAGTTCCCCTTCCAACCAGCTAATCTCCTTCTTTTTTGGTTTTTCGGTTTTTCGGTTTCTCGGTTGCGCCTGGCTGGATCTGCACTTAATCTTTAAGTGGTTGGCTGCCTTTTGCGGTGCATTAGTGACGGCCCCCCAGCCACCTGGCTATACTAGCTATAGCTAGGGACTGAAACTGAGGAATGAAACTAATCTGAACTCGTGTTACTTTAGTGAATGGAATCAGAGCAAACGAGAAACTTGATTATTGTCTAGAGCCCTTCACCTCCGGAGTGCGGAGTCCGGACTTTGGATCTCCCCTTTGTGTCTGCATGTTAATGAACTGCTTGTGGGAGCTCTGATTAAAATACGTGGTCAACTTTTGGACAGCCAATTGAGGACGCGTTTAGTAAGAGATGCGCTTAATTCGGTTTAGTAATTTATGGAGAAAAGCGCTCGCTTTAGCCACTAGCCCCCAACCCCACCAAAGTACCACCATGGCAGTTATCCTAAATCAGCGGCAAACAAAAGTGGAAGCGAGCAAGAAACAAAAGAAAGCAAAACAGTCACAACAACAAGAACATCAACCCAAATCCTTGCCACTGAAGACAGAAGGAAGAAGGAAGGGTGCCGGGCAGATAAAAGTCTTCATTCATTCATGTCGACAAAATTATTTCTTATTTAAATAAAAAGCAAGCACTGCCGGTTGGAGTTGGTGTCTTGATGTCGGGGGGGGGTAGGGCTTTGGAGCTGGAGCCCTGGATCTGAGATGATGCTACCCACTTAATATACCGCAAAGCCCGCACTTACGACGTCGCAGAATGAATAGCGGGGTATGTAAACATAAATTTTGCGAGCTCACTCCCGGTGGTGTGTCCTTTCCCCTCCTGCCATCCTGCCATCCCGCCCTCCTGCTCTCCTACTTCAGCCCCGGCTCATTGTGTTATCATCAGCTGAATATTCTATGCATGCACAAATGTTGCCGTTGTCATTGAATCAACTCTGGGGTTCTGGTGCGGAGTGCTGGGTCTTCAAAAACCAAGAGCCCGGCAAAAGTGAGCTGGGAAAAAGGAGGTAATTCTAAAAACTGGTAGACAGGGTACTGGGTACCGGGTGCTGGTGACTGCTAACTGGTAGCTGGGGGAGTCCTGGTCACGGACTACTGACTGACTTCCCAGCATTCTGGCTCCGGTTCCAGTTCCTCCATTGTCTGCCGGGGCATGATGAAGCACCGCTCAGTCAGCCCATATATTTCATGGCTCAGAATAGAAGGGAGCTGTTCTCTCTGGGAGCTCCCCGTATGATTAGCCGTTTTGACGTGGCCGAAACCGAGTGCGAAGAAGCTTTCAGGGATTACATGAACGTTTTTGGTAACTATTTGAAACCCTATTAGCTCTGGAAATATGGTCTTGTTATGTAGGCGAGGGGTTTTTTGGTTTCATTGTTTTTCAGACAGCCAAACTTTTGGATACTGCTTGGGATTTGAATACATTATGGAGTTTTATATAAAATATTCGCATTTCTACTTTAAAGATATGCGATGATACTTTAATGAAGCAAACAAGCAATTTATTTCAGAGCCCTTTGTTTATTAAATAATATCCCTGTTTCCGCGCATTAGTTTTCTTATTTAATTTCACTTTGTGCCCAAGGTGATAGGCCATAAGTCCAATTACAATTTTCAATTTTAATTTGGATTTGTTTTGCCATCGCCGGGGACTCTAATCCAATTATGCAGTCAACCATTTCACTGTCGCCCAGTATAATTATGGCCAACAGCTATTGGCCAATATCCCAGAGAGTGTGCTGTTGTGTGTGAGCTTTGAACGATTTCCTTTTACGTCACTTTGACCACGCTATTTCTAAATTTGAAATGGCCTAATCATCTTTTATGCTTCGGTGCCTGAGCCACACACACAAAACCCGAGTGGAAAAAAAGGCACCCTCACCTATTGAAAGTCGACATTTCTAATGACAGCAGACCCGAGTCTGACCCGCCAACCCCCCACGCCGGACCCCCGCTTGCGAAGGATGCCAACCAAGGAAGAAAAAACCCCAAAATGGGGCGCAGCCGTTACATGTCTACCATCTACACACGAATACATAGAGATGAGGCTCATTTAAATAAAAGAAAATATTTTTTTGTCCTGCCGCCTGCCGCTTGCTGTCCTTTGAAGACATTGGAGTATTGGACCTGCGGCCAGCGCCGTCTTTTATTTCGTTTTGTTTTTTAGTGGCGGATATTTGAATATAAATGGCGCATTTAGTTAGACTCTATCAAGCACATTCCCATATATCTTTGGCAGCTTTCGGTTCTCCCCCGTCTTGGTCCTCCCAAGGACTTGGTTCCGATTCGAGTTCGAGTCCAAGTTCGCCTTTTATCATTTGATAGTTGCGACTGCGAGAAAACAGGAAAGTCCCGGGCTGCCCCGTGTCCCTGCGCCTCTTTACCATTCCTCATCTGGCTTTAAAACATTCCGTTTTATGTTGTAGTTTTGACAGAATGAGCAATAATCATGAATTTTGCTTAGCCCATAAAAAAACGCCACTCCACTCGAGCTGAGACCCTCCTTCCCTAAAACTTTGCCCAAACACATTAAATAAATGTTTCGCCTTCTCTTCCTTGTAGCCTTTTTTCCTTGTAGCTGTGCCCTTTTTTTTTTTTGATAGGGTGACAGCTTTAAAAAGGACAACTCTGGACGTTACTCTGTTGTTTTTTTGGCGGACTACGTTTCGGTCATTTTATTTAGTGACCTCTTTGGCCAGTCTCCGCCCATCTCCCAGTTCGATCCCTTTGTTTGTCGGTCAAGATTAGGAGGCATTTGCGGTCACGTTATTGCCCACTGATTAGGACAGGGACAAAGGCAACTTAACTGCCTCACACGTAGCCTCTTTGTGGACTCCCTCCCCTCCTCCTCCACTCCTATAAAATTCAGCATCCTACAGCTCCCGAGGCCTAACGAGCTTTTCACTTCATTTTAGTTGCCAGCCCCAGGGGGAAAATGTAGAGCCCCGCCTAAGGACAGCTTCCTGCAATTCAATTTTGAGGCCAGGTGACAGCATACTTATGCAGCACACTGTCAACATTTGATTCTTTGTCTCGAGTCCTTGGTCTCAAGTCCTCGTTTCATTTCTGGTGTCTTTCGAGCCCAGCCTCGCGGCAGCAAAGTCCATTTCGAAATTACAACCTCTTCATGCCGAAGAGTGTGTGGCAATAAATACGGAATTAGAGATGGTTTGCTGAGGCATACCTCTGTTTTGTTTTGTTTCCACTCACACTAGTCCCACCAGGAGCCAGGACTTGGCAATGAATCCTTCCTGGAACCGAAACGCAATTCAGAATTGAAACCGAAATACAGCCGAGAGTGGTATGGTAACTGCAGGCAGGAAAACACTTGGCGCCCCTCTCGACTCAATGCCCAACACTCACTAAAATTTAATAAATAAAAAATGATATTTATATTGGTTTATAGCCTTGTTCAGCCACTGGGCCTCAGTGCCTCGATTTTGCACCCGATTTCGTTGTTCCTCCTTGTCTATTTGCCTTTTGTGGTTTTTGTTTGGGCGAAACATTTTGATGAAAAATATTTTTTACACATTCATTTCGAGTATATTATTCGAATGGCTGTATTCCTGTATGCATACCAGTCTACGCCCTCCATATACATACATAGACGCTTGCATTTTGCATATTTCTGCGTTTTCCGTTTTTATAAATAAAGAGACACCAGTGGCTGAGAGCGACAGGTAACAGACACTGGTGGCAGCGTGAGTGCTGTTTTTCGGTTTAAAACCAACAATCAAGTCCCCAAAACCACTAACCAACATGTCATAAGCTCTAGCCCGAAAGTGAAGGATATTTATAAGTTTCCTTTTGTTGTTTAGACCACCGCAACCCACACGATGCAGGTGCCATTTTTGGAGTCGAACCTAGCTCTTAACCGCAAAGGTTTCCATGGCGTATGAGTAATTTAATTAAGCCGAAAGCCCAAGTGTCGGCAGCGCTGAACAAATGTTTTTGCTCGGCGGCCTGTCTTAATTATAAATTGCTAAATTGAAATTCGCCTGAGCACACATTAATAAAATATCAAGTATCCGCCCCGTAAAGCCAATCGTGGCTTTAGTAGTGATTAAAGCCTGTCTAATCTATGCAAAATTAGTGGCAATAAAATTATAAGAGGCAGTGTGTTTTAATATGCAAGAAGCTCACTCTCACGCTCCCATCCCCATCGACCATTCATTTTGCATATATCACTCATACGCCATGGTGACGCATTATTTGTTTTGTTTGATGCTCTCCCACTGGCCTTGCCTTTTGGCCAGGGACGACGTAAATTCCCAACCGGAATGAGAGAAAAAAATATAAAGAAAAATATATAAACTATGCTGGTTAGAGATTAAACATTTAAGAAGCTGGGCGATAATTTACAGCGCTTGTTGAGTCGATCCTTTTGCAGAGGTTAATCGGGTTAATCCTTTCGGGCTTCAGGTTAGGTTCGGGCTGCTTCGGTGGCTGGCTCCGCAACGGACCGCACTCGCTCTCGGATCGGACAACTTACCGCTTTTGATGCTCGCCTCGCGCTTTATGGACGGGGCTTTCCGCAGGGTCTTGGTCTTGAACTCGGGCTTGGGCTCCTCCTTCGGCTCCTTGAGGAGCTCATCGATCTTGGGTACCTTTTTGAGAACGGGCCTGATCTTGGCCAGGTCGTCGGTGCTCTTGCTGGGCAGCGGCTTCTCCTCGCGCTTCACATGCCGCAGCTTCGGTTTCTCCAGCTTGAAGCGCAGCCTCCGCTCCCGCTCCTCCTCAGTTTCGCCCTCCTCGGCGTCATCGTCCTCCTCGGGCGCCAGCTTCTTCATCGACTTGTCCCGCTTCACCACCACGCTGCGCAGTTTGGGTTTCTCTATAGTGAAACGTTGGCTTAACTCACTTTCCGGCTCCGGCTTCTTGTTGACGGTGGTGGGGCGCAGCTGGGCGGCCTTCTTCACGTGCTCCGGCACCTTCTCGTCCACAACGGTGTCCTCCTCGTCTTCGCTCTCCTCCTCCTCGGACTCGGTCTCCTCCTCGCTCTCCTCCTCCTCAGACTCGGTTTCCTCTTCGGTCTCCTCCTCCTCGCTCTCCTCTTCCTCCGAAGAGGACTCTGGCGGCGGAGTCGGCTCCTTCTTCTTCTTCAGGGCCGAAGTAGTGGCCACTGGCTTCTTGAGGCCCACGGCGGGGGCCACCTTTTTAACCGGCTCGGGAGCTTTCTTGCTGCTCACCGGTTCCGGAGTCTTTTTCACCGTGGTGGTTGTGGCCGCCGGCGTAGATTTCTTCGCGGGCTCAGCCACCTTCTTAGCCGGTTCCGTGGCGGTGGTTTTCTTCACGGTTGTGGTCGGGGTAGTCCCTGCTTTTGGCTTGGTTGTTGTGGACTTTTCGCCGTTTTCCTTGCCAGCCGGCGTGGCGGCCGTCGTCGTCGTCGTGTTGGTTTTTTTCGCGCCCCAGGGCGTGCTGCTGGGCTTTGTGGTGCTGGAGGCGGCGGTGCTGCCGCCATCGTCCTTCACCCATGGCGGACGGAAGGTGGTGCGTCCGCCGGGCGCACTGCTCCCACTGCTAGTGCCCGTTCGGGCCGTTCCAAATGGCATCTCGTTGACTGTTTTAAATGTTTGAGTTTTTCGCTGGAGTTCTTTCCCAACTTTTCCTCGGCGGTTTATATTTTTATTTTGGTTGTTGTTGTTCTCGAGGGGCTGATGTCGCCACGCCCACTTGTCGTCAACCGTCTATTTGCACACTCTTTTTAAATAATTTGCCGTGAATTCTTTGGCTATTTTTTCCCGTTTCTGTTCGCGGCCCTGCTGATGAAAACACAAAACTTTGCACATTAGCACCGACGGGGGAGAGTCGCGACTCGCGAGTTGTCCAAAAAGTTCTTTCATTCAGATTTTCCGTGTTTTTTCTCCGAATTTTCGTTTGTTTGTTTTTTTTGTTCTATTATTTTTTACGCGTATTTTTTGTTCACATAGATTTAAATACAATTTTCAGCGCGAATTTGTTGCTAAGAATTTAATTCGAGGCCCGCTGCCGACGACGAGCAACAGCTGTTTGAGATATTTTCAATCCAATCCGATTCAATTCATTTCAATTCGTGTATATTTGGGTATGTTTCATTTCCAATGTTATTTTTAACTGAATGCGCTCATTAGCTTGTTTTAGTCTCTGATTCGGCCACTGAGAGACAGAATGTAGGCCTTTGTGTCATAGTCATGGACAGGGACATTGGTAGGGTGGGGTGGTATCTATACACCTTGGGGATATAGGGGCTAACGAAGCAGAGGGACTAACGCATCAACAAATCGCAACTAACAGGAATGCTTTTGAAAATTCACCCGAAAACAGATACAGCTGAGGTCAGAGGAGAAGCCTGGGCAGCCTGTGTGTTTATTAATTTGTTCAAGCCTAGAAATCATATTCAATTTTATAATCAAATATATTAATATACATATGACATGTTTAGCCATAGATTGAATTAATTTTGGCATAATTAATACAAGCCACAAACCCAACATGCCTGCATATTAAAGTGATTTCACTCATAAAATTAGCTTGCATAAATGTTGGGAATACATAGATAAATAGCCACTTTGACGAAATTTCAGGTAACTTTTTAATGTTTCATATTTTGAGGCAATAGTAAAATGAGCGATTTTAAAAAAGTTTACTGATTTTTTAACAAGAATCAATATAACTGATAGTTATTTTAAATAAATTCATGATTTCTTTGGTCAACTCATTCAGCTAAAATGCTAAATGTATGCCCTGTGGCTCTATTGTTCTGACCACAACTGCTGCTCTCCGGATGAGTGTCCAGCTAAATGTTGGTGTGCGTGTCCGTTTATATCTATCCGTGCATATGCACTCCAATAAACAGCAGCTCCGGCCAAAAGGAAAAGCAAATGGATAGCAGCAGCAAGATCAACAACGCCAAACAGAAACACGACCAACAAAAACAACAACGTGCCACTGGCTGCGATATGTAAAAGGCGAAAATATTTAATTTTAGGTTCTTTGTCCGCCGAGAGGCGGTGGGTAAAAGCCGAAAAAATCTAGAGAGCGAGCCGACCCGCCAAAGTGGTAGAGACAAAACGGAACCAAATCGACGGAATAAAAGGAAACACATCTCCGGCGCTTTCGCCTTTTGGCCCGTTTTTTTTTTTTGTTAGCTGTTTTTATTGTTGCTTTTGTTTTTATTCAACTGGCTCGTTTCACAAAGTAGAACTGGGTGTATGGAGCAAAAAAAATACAACAAAAATAAAGCGAACGCGGGGAGGCAAAATGAAATCCGAATTTGTTTCATTCCATTGCCATTTCCATGGCATTTTCACCCACAACCCCCACATCATCCACCCATCCGCACACCCACTCTGCTCCGGCTGCTCTGCTACATATTCATTTCAATTTCTCCCGTTCAGGGCGACAGGCGATTGCAAATTTTTGGCCAGAACCGAGAACTGAGAACCGAGAGGCTGAACACTTTCTCGGGCCTTCTTGCATGGAGGCGTTAATTAAACATGACATGCAAATAAAAATTATACTTAGGAATATTCCAGCGGCAGAACTGCGAAAAGGATGGGGAGGGACGAAAAAAATGAAATTTCAATTAACATTGTTAACGAGAATCTGGCGCACTGGACGGCTAATTTGGCTCGAAATTCGTGCGGAATTCCATTTGAAATACCAAAATATAGAGAGAGCCATGGATGCCAGGCCATATTTCATCCTAAGATTGCCTGTCAACAAACTAAAAAATTGAAAAATACAAAAAAAAGATAGCCAGAGCGTTTAAAAATATCGGCCGCGGGATATTTTTGGAGCACCCATTCATAACGCCCCTCCAGAGATTTATTAGATCGATTGGCCAGTGACAACTGCTGAGCAGAGCGCTTTCCCAAGTTTGTGCGCATTTTGCAACCCAAATGTACACGACAAAACCGATGCTATATTTTTGGATATTTCACGGATTTTTTGTCGGATTTTTATTATGTGTATTAATTGGTTCATTCGTCCGTTCGTTGCAGTTTGCGTTGCACGTTGAACGCTGCATACGTATATAGAATATATCTATAACATATAGTATGTCTGTATCGGTTGGGTCAGACACCCGCGCACCACCACAACCGCAAAACACGCATACACTACTAGCACAGACACAACACAAACACAACACAGACACACACACACACGGAGTGAATTTTCAGCAATGGCAGCAACAGCAGCGCCTATGACGGCGTTTCAAAAACTAAATTCATACATTTTCCAACGGCCCGGTGATGCCCGAAAAAATTTCAAAATTTTTCACGCTCTCGGACGACGAGTCTCTCTTGTTCGGTGGGTGCTGGTGCTTTGGGGCACCTATGTATGTAGTAGCTCTCTTCGGATGAGCATAATGAAGTGAAATGAAAATTTTGTTGACCGACAGAGGAATATTTTTAGCATCTTTTCATTTTCGGCACGCGGCCGAGGGGTAAACAGTGGGGGTGGTGGTGGGTCCGATTGACCTTATGGCAGGTGCAGTTCAATGGAATTATTAATAACCGTATATGTGGCCCACTTCAAGGATGGCCCTCCGCTTTTCCCCCCTCGTTATCCGCTCATTAGGCGGCTCTTATCAGAGTCCTCCCAGTGAATGGGCCTCAATTACGCAAGTTTCTCGACGACGGCGTGGGTGTCTCAGCTAATTTAGGGACGGTTTGGAGGGGGTTTGGTTTTGGTGGGTGGGTAGGTGGTGGCCTTACCCTGTGATAAAAACCACTCGTCTAGAAAGTCCAAACCCATTAGTGCTTCTGTGTGATGGTCTGACTGGGGCTAAGATTTAATTCTCTCTCCGATTCGCTTTCAATATTTACATTGTCTGCCAAGTGGTTGCTGTGGTTGCTCCTCTTCTTGATCACTCGGTTGGGGTTGACATTTGTCTTGGGTGGTGCAATCGATCGATCGATCGGTCAGTGCGTGCCTGTATTTATAGTTTATTTGATCGCATATCGATTAGACTAGGGCTAGGCTAGGTAAGGGGTTCCCACTATCAACTAGGATAAGTTATGAAAAGTTATACATCCACATTTTTGCATCTCCATCTCTGAATAATTAAAAAACATAAATTTACATTTTGTAACACTTGAAAATAATATTGTTCTATTGACTGTAAGCTCGTTTATTTATTTAAATTGCAATGCAAACATCAAATAGTTTATTTTCTGTTTATTGGTTGAGTTTCATTTTTTGAAAACTGACTCCCTTTTATAATTGATACTGCCTGAAAATATGCAGAGAATTTTTTGTGGAGAAAGCAGCTGCCGAGAAGTATGCTACGCATGGAAGTCCATTTTAATAGGCAATCGATGAGAATATGTGTGATAGTAGTGGTGAGATTTTGGCCGGGTTTGTTTAAAATTTGGCTTAAACCTGATTGGGCGGACATTTTGCCTTGGGCTCTTTAATAATTCATAAAACTGTTTTTAGTCCAGCTCAGTTTTTTCTCTTCGCTGTCTATGGGGTCTGTGGGGCACGCTCTGGCCCCCAACCTCTGGCATCCAATGCCAAATAGTCGGAAAAGCGAGGTCATCGACGCTTTCGTCGCCGCGTACCGCGCAAAAACTTGTCCCATCGAAATCGAATTTGACGCAAATTAATTGCTATTTGATTTGACAACTGCGTTGTGGGTTGTGGGTTATGGGGGCGGTGGCGCGAGATACAAAGACACCAGATGGGGGTTATGCTTAAGTGTTATCATCTAGAAATTGCTTTATTTGTGAAATGTTCGAAGAGATATCTAATGAATACTGAATGAACTCCTTGGCATTGTGCGGGGAGCCGAGCTCGTTGTGGCTTCTCTCAACCTCTGGTGGGTTGAGGGTTATTATATAGGGTCCTAGGCCAGGCCTAGGCCTTGGGCTGGCTAGCGGCTGGCGGGGATTTGGCAATAGGTGGCTGGGGATGCACATGGGGCTCCACCGGGGCCTGGGTCGTGGTGGTGGTCTCGGTGGCGTTGAGCTTGGTGAAGTGCGGCCAGCTGGAGATCTCCTCGAAGAGCCTGCCACCGGGGCACTCGGTGTCCCGAACCTGCCGGTGACCCAGGAGCTTGTAAGTGGGGTCGATGTATCCCTTGTAGACGCCGAAGGCGATCAGGTTCTTGGCCGCATCCAGCATTTGTTTGGGCGGGAGTTCAGCTAAAGTTAATGACAATTTGGGGTTAGAAGCTCTTTCAAATTTGTGAAGGTAGGATCTACTTACTTCTCCAATCTCCAATGAGGACAATGCCCACACTCTTGTCATTGTACTTGGGTGCATGGGCTCCGATAACGTTGAAGCCCCTTCCAGTGTAGATCATGCCGTCTCCGCCTATGCCGAAGCTATATCCGATATCGTTCCAACCGCGCTCCAGTTGGTGAAAGTCCTGCATGTCGCGCATGCTCTTCATGCACTCCGGCGTGCTGAAGCAGACTCCCGGCATGTACGAGTGGTGGATGATCACGTACGGGGCTGGGCCCTCGAAGTGCTCCACGGATTTGGGCAGCCTAGCGCCCCAGTCGGAGCGGGATAGTAGTCGGGCCGTGCCCGCTCCACTGTCCATGCTCGCCTGTTGCATGTGCTGGCTGTAGCCTGAAATAAAAAAAGAGAAATTAAGGTAAACGAACTATCTACAAACTTCTTAGGAACATCTCAATTTCAAGCCAACAATCTTTCACAAAAAATAATATATATAACGCCCAGAAACACACGAACTTTCAAGACAGGCAACGCCTTTTTGGCCCTAATTGTAGAGGGGCTAGAGTCGTAGCTGGGTGACGTGTGGTAGTGGCGGTGTAATAGGTGGGGGTGTGGTCTGCGGTACTGCTACCGTACATCGCTCACATTCCATTGATAAATGATGGCCGGATTCCCCCACGTGAAGCGCTATCTACTATCTGCTGCCGCGGTGGCTGCGGTTCCGACGAGCCACAAACCGAAACTGAACCAGACACCGACTCCCCGATTCTAGCCGCTGAAAATCCCCGTTAGCTCCCCTCGGAGGTCTAAAGGGGAGCGGAGCTGCTAAAAAACAAGTCGCCGATCGGCTCCGATTGGCAATCAACAGCGTCATCAGCCGCTGCTGAGCGGGTATTAAATATGCTAAACTACCGGCTGTTGGGTGATTTTTATTTATCGTAGCTCTGGTGCCACATATATCTGTAGTATTCCAGGGTTCAGGTGAGGTATACTGCTTAGCGAGTTATAGGTAATCACAACTCTTAAAAAATTAATTTTCCTCTAAAATTTAAGATATTTTCCTTTCAAACTTTTAATGTTTGTTGACTTAGCTGGCAAATTATGGAGAACGGGAAACTGAAGACAAATTTATGGCTTTGCGTATTCACGTTCAATGTATATTAGGCAATAATTTCCAAAACGTTTGTGGGAATGTAAATATTTATACCAGCTTACGTCAAAGAAACGACTCAATGTGTTAGATATTCTCCGCCACGTATCCGGATCATCTCGAGATAAATGTTTCCAAACCTGTAGGGAATCTTCAGTTCTATTCAATTCGCAATCTATCACCGTGACTCAGCTTAAATCCCCCCCAATGCGAAACGTTCAAACGCAAAATAAATGAAAGACCCCGGCCAAACAGCAACAGGTGCTATCATCTATCAATGGCGTGAGCGTTTTGGCCGTTGACACTGCGACCCGCGGAAGCGAAGAGCCAGGGGAGAGGCAGTATTATAGAGGGGAACGGAGGTCGTTCCGAGTTCCGGATGGCCCTGGTTCCTCTGCGTGAGTCATAAATGCAAATTTGGACTCCAATTCAAAAACTATTTCATTCAAAATTTGTTTTATGTGTGCCAGCAAACATGAAAGCAAATCGTATAGGAGGAGAGGAGCAGGAACAGCCGCCGTCATCAACTTTCGGTGTTTGCTGGCGTCTGCCAAAAAACTTCTGAGCCACGCCCCCCGTACAACTAGAGCTGTATGCCTCCGGCATTTATATGCATACGGAAAACTTGGACAGCGAAAGTGGCGTGAAGTGGTGGCGGGAAACAGGAGACGCCAGCGCCAGTTTCTAATTAAAATTTACGGAGAGCGAAAGTTGCGTAGGTGAACAGGCAAGGTCACAACAATATCTCTAAAAATAGCGACTAATTTTGAAATTATTTTACTAAAATAATAGCAAGCGTAAAATGGTTGTGCTTTCTATTTTCGTCAACTGGTTAGCATTGAAGCCTTAAAAATGATCCTATTTTTCTTAGAGCTATAGTTCCGGGGGACTGAATGTCACGCCCACATTTTGGCACCTATCCTGAGTCCTGAATCCTGGACTTCATCGACGGCGCGTGCTTGAATAATAAACAGAGCAGGAAACAGGAGCAGGAGCTGGAGCTGGGAGGTGGGAGGCCAAATCGTTGGCTGTTTAATTTATGCCGCTTACTTTTTAGTGTGTGTAACATGTTAATTACATTTATATTGTTGTCAAGGTTGTCAAATATCTCCCTTCCGCCTAAGGTTGTCAAATATCTCCCTTCCGCCTTTTTGTCTTTTGAATTTCGCGGCTATGTACAAAGCGCTACAGAGCTCGTATCTGGCAACACTATACATAATTTAAAAGGTCTTGACATAACCTACAAAACGACGCTATGCATGATTAGTTTGGATATTGCGTTCACCAGTTATAGACGTGTAAACATGGAGTTCACTAACGCCGAAATTCGCGCTATTTTAAAGTTTTCCTTCGTTAAAGGCAAATCCGCTAGAGAAACGTTCCGTGAGATTAATGGGGTTTTGGGGGATGGTACTCTATCACTTCGAACCGCGGAGGAATGGTTTCGACGATTCAGAGCCGGTGAAAACGACACCATGGATAAGCCAGCCGGCGGAAGACCTGTGACGACAAATACCGATCAAATCATGGAATACATCGAGTTAGACCGGCATGTGGCTTCTCGTGACATCGTCCAGGAGATGGGAGTTAGTCACCAAACCATTTTAAACCATCTGCAGAAGGCTGGATACAAAAAAAGCTTGATGTTTGGGTGCCGCATGATTTGACGCAAAAAAACCTTGTGGACCGAATCAACGCCTGCGATATGCTGCGGAAACGGAACGAACTCGACCCATTCTTGAAGCGGATGGTGACTGGCGACGAAAAATGGATCACATACGACAATATCAAACGAAAACGGTCGTGGTCGAAGGCCGGTGAATCGTCCCAAACAGTGGCCAAGCCGGGATTGACGGCCAGGAAGGTTTTGCTGTGTGTTTGGTGGGATTGGAAGGGAATCATCCACTATGAGCTGCTCCCATATGGCCAGACGCTTAATTCTACCATCTACTGCGAACAATTGGACCGCTTGAAGCAGGCGATCGACCAGAAGCGTCCAGAATTGGCCAACAGGAAGGGTGTAGTGTTCCACCAGGACAACGCCAGACCACACACTTCGTTGATGACTCGTCAGAAGCTACGGGAGCTCGGATGGGAGGTTTTATCGCATCCACCATATAGCCCGGACATAGCGCCAAGTGATTACCACCTGTTCCTGTCCATGACGAACGCCCTTGGTGGTGTAAAGTTGAACTCAAAAGAGGCTTGTGAAAAGTGGCTGTCCGAGTTCTTCGCAAATAAGGAGGGGGGCTTCTACGAGGGAGGTATTATGAAGTTGCCGTCTAGATGGAAACGGATTATCGAACAAAACGGCGCATATTTCAACTAAATCGGATCACTGTAACACTTTTTATAAAGCATTGAATAAAGAGCAAAAAAGCGGAAGGGAGATATTTGACAACCTTATATTTACAGCAAAGCTCGCAGAGCACTTCTCTGCCAGCCTGCCTGCCTGCCTACCTAATTGTTACCCTAATTACGCGGCCTAATAAAGTAAACATTAAAACTCGTTGGCCTAATCAATGTTGCAAACTTGTGTGGCACACACACACATCCGACATCCGCTCGACTATCGCACGACCGTGCTGCAATTTATGTGGAAAATCACCTAAGCCCTCGCTTATGGCCCACACTTCGTTACAAAAAGTAATTTCGGAGGCATTGGCGTAAAGTTCTTTGATAATTTTCGATTAATCCAGTGGGGGAGCGGGGGTTCCCTACTATCGGCATGCTTACACGCTTACAATTACTCTACTGATTAAATTCCGGCATAATTGAGGTATTTAAATTACCGGCAAATAATTAGAGTGGCAGTGACACACAGCACCCACACACACTCGGCAAGGAGTGGGTCTGAGTGGTCCCTTAGGTAATTGTTTGTTTTTAATCAGGCAAAGCACATAATAGAGACATTTCAATATTATTATGTTGACGATGCTGGAGAGCCCGTGCCGTCCGACTCTCATTAAACAAATATCCGAGCCACCATACATTGTTCATCGGGAATGTGCGAAATTAAGTCACGCTCGATTACAGAAAAAAAAATAAAAGTCAACCCGTAAAAAACGAATGGAAAAACAAAAAAAAAGTACCCGGATCAAACAGGAAAAAACTTAAAAAAAAGAACAATAATAAAAGCTGAAAAAAATGCAAAAAAAAAAACAAGAAAAGAAAGCATTCATTCTAGTTTCGAAAGTCGAAAAATCAATGCTCTTCAGGGTTTTTATTCTAAAGCTTGTTTAAAAATCAAAGTTAAAATTTTGTATCTTAATACTCTCTACTTTAAAAATTTATCAAATAAATTTTATGGCCCTTATCAGTATTTAACTTTTATAACAAACACAAAACTCTCACTCAGTTAGGGTGCGAAAATTATGAATATTAAAATTAAAAACAATTTCACTCAGCCGGTGGCTGTCAACCCGTAAATGACAATTTTGCTAAATGTCAGTAATTAATTGAAACAAAAAATCACATATCTGGCAGCGTTCATAAATGAATATATTATATTATATATGTATGTATAATATTATCAGGGCCCAGCTGACGCGATTGACAAGCGAATGGGCGCCCAGAAATTAAAGAGCAGCCCCTGCCGATAAGGCAGGTGAGGAGCTATCAGCATTATACCCCACTCCCGATAACCGGCGCTCGAAATTACTTACCCATCATTGATAGCAAAACTAATCCCAGCGCTGTCATGATGTCTTGCTCTTTACTGATGTTGCTGCTTCTGTTTGTGTTGATGTTGCTGCTGCAATTGCTGCTGTTGCTGATGATGATTTTTCAACTGCGATTGCTGGGTGGAGCTACTTAGGAACTTGTGTGCGCACCAAATGTGACTTTGATTTAGGAACTTTTGTGTCGATTGCTTCGCGCCGAGCGCTCCAACTTGATTGTTGTTTGTTTGTTTGTTTGCTTGCTCGATAGCTAGCTAGACTGGCTTGTTGTTAATATTGGCTGGCTGGCTGGTTGGTTGGTTGGTTGGCAAGTTACTTTTGTGCAGTGGCAAGAATTGTGCAAAATTTCGACTGTGTGTGAAGGTCAGAGATATCGAAGCGCTGTGCTCACATAGCGGTCTTATGCTTCGTATCAAAAACGCGAGTGTTGGCCAACATAAGGGCGGACCTGAGTTTATAGACGAACGAAAAATTCGCACCACGGCTGCCGCTGCCTCTGCCTCGGTTGACGTCGCTGCTGGCGTTGCTACCACTGCCGCTGCCGTTGCCGCAATGCCAAACAAATGGTTAATCGCATGAAACTTATGGGCTGATCGCTCTCCATCGCCACCTCGCCAAAAACCGCACGCTCATCGATTCGCGGCTACTTCCGCTCTCCGAGCGAGCTTTTCTCTGCTTCAGTCGACGACTCAGCCGCTGTCGCAGTCGCTGCCTCTGCCTCTGCCTGCGTCGCTGCTGATAAAACTGTTATCAATTCCAAGGGGGGAATGCCGCTTATCCAAAGGTTACGGTTCCCTTGAGGGAAATTCGACATGGTGATCGGCAATACGGTGTGAATTACACGGCTCTTGGCAAATTCCTTCCATTTAATCGTGAATTTGTTTTACTTAACCCCATTAAACCGCAACCATGCCATTCCGCGGTACTTTTTTTCCAATTCATAGGGTTCTTTTTTTTCAATAGAGATTACTGCACGTGTATACAAATATGCAGATGAGGAGGCACGAAATGAAAATGCCGGTTTTCGGCACCTAACACACTCATTAGGCAATCGGCTAGAAAGTATTTTGACCTTTTATAGTAGGAATCTATTATGAAATTTACAGATTTCAAAATATAATTTATTTTTATGTGGAAATGATAAATTATAATCTTTTATAGGGGAACACAGCCCACACTCAATCTAATTAATATATTTAAATTATATCCCCAGTTTTTCCCCAGTGATCGGGCGAGACCTATCACTCTGATATGCAATTAAGGTTAATCATCGAAAACGTTGCCTAAGCTCTAGGGCAAAATTCACGCCTCGCGTTCCGCAATCACGACTTCCGACAGGGACAGGTGACTGGCAATTATAACAGCTTTGATTTTCTACTATTAGGTGACCGCGATGCGGATCGCTGATCATATTTGGGTTGTTAGGGCGTACTTCAATCAAGTGGTTCAATATCGGTCACTCTTGAAGGCCGTTGCTGATAAGAGACTTCTATCGAGGCAATAAATCAGCCGAGGGGGAACTTTGTTGACAATCTTGCCAGACAATAGTTTTTGAAACAATTGCTATGGGAATGTCCACGATTACTCCAACTGCCGACCCCCCAAACATCCCTCGACGAGTCGCGGTGATACTCTATAATAGATAAGCTCTAAGATATTCTTTTTTGTCATGTTTTCTTGTAAAAATTTCTAGGAATTTCTTTTTAAAGATATCATTTCCAAACGGTGACTAATTTTTATCCAACATTTGCATTGACGATGGACTGGCTTTGACTTCCAGATGTTCATTTAAACTCTTTTTTGTGGAATCCATAAATATTTATGTGATAACTCGAGGCGCCATGAATATTTATTATGTGGGAACCAATCATCTGTTATTAGTGTCTTGTTATGACTTTCTTTATGCCCATTATTAATGTATCTCTCTTATTTGGGTGTTCCAACGTCATTATTTTATGTTTGTGGGTTCATCGAAAAACTGTGACTTGTTCACTGTGACAGCATCACTGATCCTCAGTGTTCTCTGTGTCATTTGCTTTCTTTGACCGACCACCGGACATTCTTTTTCATCTGTATTTGTATATTTGTGTACAATTTTTTTAATTTTTTGTATTTTTTTGGCAGGGGATGCCCCTTTGTTTCGGGGGAAGCCCACTGCAAATGCGGCGGCTGCTAAATTGCTTTAGTCGGAGTGCCGAGATTGGATGGATAGACAAATTAACAGCATTTTATTTTCCGTCGTCGATTTATGGCGAACAAACAAATTCCATTTCATCTTCATCTTCATTTCGATCCAAATCTGAATTTGTATCTTACTTTTTAGTATCTTTAGAGATGGCTGTGGGACTGTGGGATAGTGTTTTCGGGTCGAAAATTTCGGGGGAGCACCGCGAAGATGCGTTCTAGCGCCACGGCCCAAAGGAAGTCCAAATCACCAGACCCATTTTCTCTTTGGTTCGAGGTGCTTTACTTTTTTTTTTTTGTTTATGCTTGTGGCAAGGTAAACACGCAGGCCACACACACCCTGGCCCCCTCGACGCGGATGCCAAAAAGCTTAATTTATTACACATCAAAAAGGGGAAATTTTTCGAGCGCTCTTGAAAATAGTTGAATAGTTCGGGCAACAAAATAGTTGCGGCGGTACTTACCACAACTTGAGGACAGCTGTTGCTTGAATTGTTCGAAATCCATCGGGGCGAGGTCTGAGGGTAGGGAAGGTAAGCTGGAGTGGGTGTGGGAGTCCAGTGGGGAAGTTGAAACCGATCCAGACGCCTTGTCGCCCATGTTGTGCGTGAATGCCAATGAAGCTCTAACTGAACAGAAGTTAGAGTCCATCGACAAGAACCCACCTGTATATTTGTAGGCCCCTGTCAGCCAGCGCCTTTGATTAGGTCTTGTAATCTCGATTTGCTCTTACTCTTAAGGGGGTATAGGGGAATGGCAATTCTACTACCAGAAACCCCACAGAACTCGTAGGCATAATCATAACCGATTGCGATAAATGTATTAATGGTTTTGAAAAGACTAACTTCCTCACAGGCAATAAGGTCTTTTATGCATGACACCACAATATTACTGCAATAATTTTGGATATCAGATATTTTACTGCTGCAGGTGTGTAAATACATATAGTAATAAAAGTCTTATGATTACACAGAAAGAAATTAAAACTTAATAAGATATTTTTATATAAAAATTATAAAAATAAATAAAAAACATGATAAGCCTAGACTTATTTCAGTTCTTAGTCAAGACTCTTAATAGACATCCTTTGGGTAGCTACTAGTAAGAGTATTATTTGTGCGGCTTGGATCGCCCAATAATACTGACCATTGTGTCCATAATTTACCCTTCGGCTGGGCCCCCGCTAATCGCACATCTTATCAGGGCATTAAGTGCCCCGCTCACTAACTACGCCTTGGCACGCTCTCCTCCGATGAAAAATGCTGGTGGGGGAAAAAATCACACGCAAAATCACTGGCGTTCTTTGATTCCCCACAGCCACTGGTTGTAGCACTGCCACTGCCAGTGCCAAAGCCCGGGTATTCACCAAGGTAAACATTATCTGGGCAGAAGCTTTACACTCTCGCACATTAGATAAATAAACGAGTGTCTGTCTGTGTGTATTACAATTAACAAAAGTAATTGCAATCTCTGGGGAGCCCCCGAGGCCTCAATGAAAACTCTTTGATGGGCAGGCCATAGTCTATCTACACGGCGGAATGGAAGCTACTTAGATCATATAATCCAAAATTGATAAGACGATGGATTTCAAGCACCACTATATATTAAAGTCACTTTAATCAGAGTTGAATGAATGTGTGTATTTGAAAACGATACAGGAAGCAATTCAAAATTGCCTCGATTCTCCGTGGAGTTGCATGAAAAAAGCCAATCAATAAATAAATTAGTCCTGTGGCGTGTTCAATTATTTAAAACTGCACAATCAATTAATTTGGGCAACCTGAATAATTAAAAACTGAATTGGGAGATTGAATTTAATTTTTTTCCCTGTACTCTCGCATTGAGATGTAAACACCCAACCTCCTCCGCCGCAAAATTTAAATTCGTGGCAGAGGACGAGTCTTCGGGAGGGTGAACAATTCATCAGATGTCGCCATATCATTGTCTGTGCTGATTAGTTACGCCTTGCTGGTTGGCAGGAAAATTTACCCATAAAGGGCGCCTGACAGGGTGGGGGGCTGGTGCTGGTGCTGGTATCCTTGTAGCGGCACGCACATGCCATATATTAGGACGCATAAAATGACAAACGACTCGCGAGGCGCGTAAATTGAAAACGCGCTGAGCCTGTGCGAGATTGCCTGGGAATGGGGAGATGGCTGCGAGAGGTTGGTGGTGATATGGGGCGCTTCGGGTATGGATTTCGGCGACTTTTTGGCTGTTTGTTATTGCTGCCAGAGCTCTGTCGCTGGCGCTGGCTGTGGGCCAAAACTTTGCCAAAGTATTCAAATTAAAATTTCAATTAAGGAAGTGAATTTGTGTGCTCCGAAAGTGTATTAAGTCCTATATAGCGGTGGCATCTTGGCATTTCGCTGCTGGTGGGCTCCGGACTCCAGCCTCAGGGCTATGGCTGTGGGCTCCACGTGTGCCCGCCCACTCAGTTATCCCGCAAAGGATGCCAAAACCGAACCTGAACTGTTTAGAAGTGAACAGATCCTATCCAGTATTAGCGCCCGCCTCCAAACGGCACCCCCATTCGTCGCTTGTTGTTTGATTTATTGCCAAAGTTTGTCGTCTGTCATATGACATAAGGAGTACTTTGACGGAATATTTTACATTTCATGCAGCGCCCATCCCCAATTCCACATCCCGCAGCCATCCATTTCACGCACCTTGTTAGCTTTTTCCATTGAATTTGGAATGAGATCGCAAGAGGCTTTGGTCGGTGGAGCCCCAGCCTCTGTGGGCATTATTAATAATGCAATCAATTTGTAAACAATTTGGCATATATCAATGCGCTTCGTGCTGGCCATAAATCTTTAGGAAATTAGCTCAGACCTCTGGGGGGGCTCCTTTTTGCACTTAGAAAAATTGAAATAAGGGCTGTGAAGCAACTTTGGAAAATTTTAATAAATTGGGGATCTCTTTCAAGACAGACTCTGGGCTTGCTATTATTTCCTTTCACCTTAATGTACTTGGTATATATATTTCCTTTAATAAGACCACATAAATGCTTACTATGCTCATTAATTTGTGAAAAATAAAATCATGGCAAACACTTGAAAGTGAATAAATCAATTCCACTCAAGTTCCTGAAAGTTTGGCCTAAATGCTTCCGAAAGTTCCCCTTTAAGTGAAAGCAATCCTGTTTGAAAGCTGGGCAGTCGGGTATTCCCGCTGGGAATAAATTTTGTTCCGAGTGTGGACATTTGCATCCTGACCCTCTGACAGATTGCTGGGCTGCCCCGTTGATGGATTGGCGGCTGGTTCTGGCCAGGAAAGGCTCCGGGAATAGGAGCAGGGTCGTGGGTAGTTAGGGAATGCGGACACGAGGTGGTCCAAACAGATTTTGCCATATTTTTGCGCTTTGCCAGCCTCTGCTACAGCTACTGCTGCTGTTGCTGGTGCTGGTTCTGCTGGTTTGGCAGTTAGTGACAGCTGCGGTGAAGGCTGCAATTGCGGAGAAAAAAGCGAATTGTCCGAATTGGAGAGCTGGGTAACCATAACGCTTGTCCAGCCGCCAAAAATGCTTGACCAGAGCGGCTGGCCTTTGACCGAGAATGAAATGGTATTCGTTTCCATTTTCTCAGTTTCTCCGAATTTCCAAATGGTCAGAGTAGGCAACTCTCAAAAAACAGAAACAGACAAGTCAACAGAAAGGAAAATACAGTAAACATTCATCTCGGGTTCTCTGCATCTCCAAAGTGGAATATATCTGAGGTGAGTCTGGAGTCCTGCATCTTCAGTCCGGCAAGTCCAGAGTTGAACATCCTCTTCAAGCTAATTGAATAAAGTTGCGCCACCAATAACGTGCTGTGTGTGTCCAGCTGAGATTTTTCCCTTGTCCGGGGCCGAGTCCGGGAGGAAAAGCTGGAAATATTGCAGATAGTAGTTGATGCGGTGCCTTTGCTCGCCTTGGCCCCAATTTAAAAGTTTATGAAGTTGTCAGCCAACTGGCGCCTTTCCTCAGCCTCGCACTCACTTTGCCTTTCACTGCTTTTCTCTTTGTGTTTTGACAGGACCAAGGACCAACGACTATAGAATGCCGAGCCGTCTCAACCAACAGCATGCGGCTTATGCCCAACGCATGGAGCAGGAGAACAGCCGGGTGCAGGCCATCAAGGCGGTGAACAGCTACTACGACCACTGGGGCAAGGTGACCTCCCGGTTCGAGAACTGGACCAACAAGGAGTACTACGAGAAGGCGGACCAGCGGCTCCAGACCCGCCGCGAGCAATCCGAGAAGCAGGCGGCCCTCAGCGAACGCCAGACCCGACTTCGCCGGCTCCTGGAGTCTGAAAGCGAGGCATACGACAGCGAGATGGAGCGGCGTCGCAGGCCGAGAGAGCCCGGCGGCGGAGATTTTCAGATGCTTGGACGGGTCAACCAGTCCCTCAAGGAGCAGGAGCAGCTGCGACGCAAGCTGGAGATGGAGGCCAAGCTTTACGGCCGCTGGCGTCATGGCGTAGACGATGAGAAGCTGCTCTACCAGTCCAAGTCCGACAACGAGGTGCTGGCCAAGTTGAACTGGCTGGACCGTCAGATCGAGGGTCAGCAGCAGCGGGAGGAGCAACAGGCCCTGGCGGCCGAACGGAAGTTGCAGCTCCAGCAGGAGGTCCACCGCACGGAGCAGGCTCACAAGGAACTCCAGCAGGTCCGCGAGCAGCAGATTCGTGAGCTTCGTGCCCTCCAGGAAACACACATGTCGGAGCTACGAGACCGTCAAGTGGAAGCCGACCGGCTGAAGGAGGAAGAGCAGCATTTCAAGCTGTTTCTCAGCGAGCTGGAGAAGGAGAAGCAGCTGCTGGAGGAGAGCACCGCATTGGTGCTACAGCGTCCTGATGCGGGGCACGCCTTCAACCTGAAGAAGATCAAGGTGTTCATCCGGCAGCGCAGCGAAGCCACCCGCAAACAAATGTCCTTGTGCATTAATCTTCTCCAGCGCATGTCCAAATACGTGATTAAGAAAGAGAAGCTCCAAGACCTCTTGAAGAAGTACCGCACCCAGATGGAGGACGAGGAACTGGCGTGCGTGCAAATCGAGACCATGTACGAGTCGGAGGCCAAGTACAATCTGCAGCGCTGCGAGGACGCGTGGCGGGAGCAGCACATGCAGCGCTACACCGAACTGAGTGAGCTCATTGACCAGGAAACGACGGCTCTGGGTGGGCTGCTCCAGGAGAACGTTAACCAGCAGCAGACGGTGTTGGAGCTGCGGAGCCAGCACCTCACCGGCATCGAGCAGGCTAACAAGCAGCTGGAGCAGCTCAGCCAGGAGCCCATCGAAGTGCCATCGCTTTCCTCCGCTTTCGATGAGTCAGAATCCCAAACTGCTTTTGCTGCGGAGGACGTTTCTGTCGGTGCGGAAGTGGAACGCAAGGTGAGCGACTCGTTCTCGAACCTCAATCTGGACGTGTGGCAGGATCTGCCTCCGGCCCGGGGTGGGCCCGACTCGCCACGCCTTAGCAAGACTCGCTCCCTGAACGTGGTCACCCCCCAGACGGCCGCTCCGCCGAAGTTCGCCCGCAAGCGAGTGGCCTGGACCTAAAATTGCCTCAACTTAATAACGTTCCAGCTTAAATTTCAATGGTATTATTAGCCCTAGCTCTAGGTTAGCCCCCGTTTTAGTCATAGTTCAACATTCGTGCCCGCCACACACGCACCTCCCAGACACACCCTCGTTCCACCCACCACACAACACCGTTCTGTGCACTTGTAGTCGATAAGGCTGATAGATTGGCGCTCCCCTCGAGGTGGGGCCGGCAATAAATCACTCAATTTGTGGGCCAGAAGAAAAGCGGCTTTAATTATTGTCAAGAACAGGAAGGGCCAGAAGCACTGGCTCTAGTCTAGGCTCGGGAAGTGTTCTATTGATTGCCAACAAGGTAAGGAATTAAGGTCTTAAAAGGGATTGTCGGAGGTAAGTTACAGCTCTCTCACAATTTTCGGAAGTCACTGATGTCTGGAGTCCTTGAGTTCTGGGGCTCTAAAAATAAAACAAACGAGCCATTTTTTGTTGGTTTTCGAATACTAAAATAGTGTGTTTGGATGACCTAGCAAGTTATCAGCCAGATATGTCATAGACTCGGGTTATTCACTCAATCTGGCCTTGGCTTACTTTACAAAAGCCACAAAAAAACCCCATAGTGAAAAAGTTATTAGAAATTGTAGATTAGTTTTAAAGTGACTCAATAAACATGAACAAAGACCTCCAATAATTGTAGGCATATAGCTTGGGAACAGGAGTCCGGAAACACATCTTCACTAAAGCTTAAGACAACGTACTATATGTACCCTTTGGGCCACAACCAGAGTGGCTTAACATCAATAGGTTTGATCGACTTCCAGATTCAATTTGTATTAAGATTCTAAGTACTAGGTGTAGTTGTGTCGGCCGTAGGCTCCCCATTCTGGTAACTGGAGTAATATCGCCTCAGACTCTCCCCGGCATTAGCATTAATGCATGTTATTCATCATCTATTTGAATAGATGCCACGCCCCGTCACTCAGCCCACTTTGAGTAACATAAACCGTGAGCTGCTCCTAATGGTCGAAGCGCTCGCAAATGATGATGAATACGTTTCAATTACTCCACTCGAACTCTCCATCATCAGAGCCGGAGGGTGGTGTGGGCTTGGAGAGTATCATTTGATTGCTACCTGAGGAGGACGCGGGCACGGAAGCTGGATAAGCTGGGGGCACCAGGGAGGTTGTCCATTCGGAGCAGATTTATGAAATATCGAAAATTATTATGTGCAATTATTGGACCAAAGTCGCCGCCATACAAGGCTATGGAAAAACATTGCACTCTATTGAATGGTAATAAAAACAAGGTATACCTAGGTATTCATACACTCGATAAAACGCACATATAAGCTCCTATATATAATATGATATGATGGAATGTAGGTAGGTATGTGGAAGTTGCAAATATAGGAGTCTACTGGCATGTGCGAGTGAGCAGGCATCACTGCGCCTTTGATTAAATTTCTTTGAGTGTTTGGGGCACACAAAATGCAATTTCATTTGCACTAATGGCTGGCGTCGCTGCCACAGCCACTGCCACTGCTTCTGCTATGCCTCTGCCACTGCCACTGCTGGCTGCATTTCCGCTGTCAGCAACAATGCGGCGGCGCAGCAGAGGAAAACTGGGCGAAAAAGCGCAAAGAAAAGTGAAAAAACAACAAAACGTACGAAAAAGATTGTTAAATTGAATTAAAACCAACAACGTGCCGGGCGGGTGGTGGGGGCGGTGCGACTGCCAGCGGCGGCCAAGCGGAAGGTATATCATGATGAGAAGAATTGCATGCCGCTGCCGCCGCTGCTGCTGCTGAGCTGCAACCACCCAACCACCCTTCGGGTTCCGGCAGCCGTCTTTAATGGTGTTACTGCTGCACCGGCTGCCATTACCCACCAACTTGCAACTTGGGGCATCTGCAAGAGGTTGGCGCAAGCAATAAACGGAATTTGAAGCCTTGTTCTCCTGCCCTGCCCGGCCCCTCGGAAGCCACCCGGAACCCATTCCCACAAAAGATTACAATGTTTGTGGGACGGCGAAGGAAATGAAAGATGAAACTATTAATTTTTGTGGCCTTTGAAAAAAAAAACTCGAACGGGTCAGAGTTCAACATTCAATTGTCCAAATACGTTTTAATTTATTAAAGTAGTCTCTGATTCTAATTAAATGCTGATTCATAAAATAAGAAATATTGCAATCAATTCAGATTTTTTAATTAAATGATATTAATGAAACTATAATGTATTGAATTATATTATAGAAAAAAACAAAAACAAGGATAATAAAATCTAATAAAATTTTCAATGGACGCTATATGTAAATTAGAATGGCAATTAATAAATAAATAATCATCTATTAATATTTCATCAAAAATATATAAATAGGATTAGACAACTTAATAAGTCAATTGATAATGCGATTCTGTTAACTTTCTGAAAAAAATCATCATAAATAAACACAAATATGCTAGGATATATTCCGGCATTCATTGATTTCATCTTGCTTCCTGTCAACCCGTCACAGATTCATTCGTCCTGTCAGCGAGCCTGTCATCTGCGCATCGCAATTCGGCGAATCGAATTGTTTGCTTTGTCAGGTGAGTGCCAGGTGAGTATTCTGACTAGGCAACTAGGCAATCAGGTGAATAGGCAGAGGTACCCATGGCAGCTATTCATACCCACCGGGAAGTGTGCGTTGTAGTGGCTCGATTTACGCTTCAAAGAGCTTGCGAGTTGCGAGTTGCGTGCGCTGGATTTGTGGCAACGTGTTGGTGTCGACGGATTACGGAATGATTACAACAGGTGCGGATTGACTGGGCAACCCTCCAGGGCCGGGAGGAGATGTAGAAAGAGCTGGAGCAGCCTTGACTCTCCTTGGGCCTTGAGCTTGGTGGCATAATCTGTCAGACGACTGTCCCTTAAACAAGATTAACTGCTGATGCTGATGAGGCCGGAGGAGGTGGTGGTGGTAGATGGAAGAAGGATGATGATGCTGCTGCTGCGGGACTGTGCAACAAAGAAGCAATAATGCGATGAGGTTGGGCCCTGCTCACATCTGCCACAAACACACGAACACCACACCACGTCCTCAAAAGGACGAGGAGCCAGACTCAGACTCAGACGTATAGCCTTTTCATCCGAGCGACATTTACGTCAACAATTCACCCAACAATTGGCAAATGTGGCCATAAAAGCATGGCAGTTGTCGCTGCTCCTCCTGCCTTTGTCACTCGGCAGCCGGCCCCCGTTTGGCTACGCCTGTGGCTGCTGCTACTTTGCAATGCACAAAGCGGAAACGGATGCGGATGCGGATACGGAAATACATGTATGCGTGATGTTGTTGCTACTTCTCCGACTGCCTGCCTCCGGCAGTTGCAACTGCCAGTTGTTGTTACTGCTGTTGTTGTTGCCACCTACCGCATTCCCTCGCTGCCTGCCGCCTGGCAGCTGCCAACCCGTCATTCTGTCGACCCACCGAGCGAGTGATGCCTGAGCCAAAAGCCAACATGTCGCCAGCAGACTAAGCCCCGGCCCGGCCACACATAATGTTGGCTAAGCCTTCAGTCAATTGCATTCAAATAAGCGGCCAAACCGTACTGTCCTCGCCATAGAGGACCTATTCAGAGGCGTGGCGAGGGGCAAAATGCGCTCTGCCGGACCCCGCTTACATATGCAGAGCTTTCTGCTTCCAGCACTCAGAATCCAGCTGGCAGCAGGCATCCTCCGGCTCAGGCAGCTCAGGAACTCGGGAATGTTCAATTTCACCCATGGCCGGGCTGGAGCATCGTTTCGTGTATCACTTTATGACTCTGGCAAGTGAGGAGTTAAATTGCTAAAGGCAGCAGCATGGAGGTGGGGTTGCATGTGGGGCAGTTGCGGCTTGCCTTTAAAGTTTAAACAACAGTTATTCTATCTGTGTGTTGGCCGTTGTCTGTTGGTTGGTTCTCACTTCAATGCCAATCCCGATCCCAACCACCAACAGTTTGCTTCATTTCTCCCCAACCCTCCCTCTGTTGTCAGCTATGGCATCCTTTTTTAAGGATGTAAAAATGCTGCGTAAATATGCCAGCAAAAAAATGTATGTAAAATGGAAAAAATGAACAACAACGTGGAGAGCAGTAGCAGCAGCCACAACAATAGTGGCAGCAGCAACACCAACATTAAATCGCTTGTTGTTGGTGCTGCTTTAACATGCTTGCCATTACACATATATACATATGTAATTCAGTTTCAGTTTCATAACTAAAAAACCATAAAACAAAATTGTGTACACACACCCCACCCGGTCCCTTGCCATTGCCCTGCCAGGAATTTCCCAGAGCAGAGTAAGCCACTGAGTGAGCGATCCCAAAACCAAACCAGACTGATTCCCCACCCACCAACCCACCGACCCAGCTGAGCCACCAAACCACCCAGTAGGCCACCCACACAAAACAAACAGAAACGATGAAGGAGAGCCGAGCCGAGCGGCATAATCAGCAGCGGCTACAGTGAAGATTAGCTAAATGAAAAGCCCTCGAAAGGCAGCTCATGCGAGCGGAGAGAGGTCGCAAGTTTGTTTTGCGGCCAATCTCCCTGCCGCTGCCACAAAAGACGAACGGTAGTACAACGTTAACAAAAGCCACCGCCATTCGCCGCCCCCAGGCTCCGGCTGTGACGACTCCGATGTGGCATACAGCACTCCGATGTGGCACATACAGAAAGGAGGCCTTGGAACTGATTCGAAAATGAGTTATCCTCGCAGTCGCATTAGTCACACGTGATTAGGCTCGAAGGGCGATTAAATCATTATGGGTAAAGTCAGTGAAAAGTAACTGAAATGAACGCAAAAATGTCAGTGCTTTTTAGCAAGGATATGTATTCTGTTATAAGGCTTGCTGACAAGGGAGTATTATTCTACAGGACTTCAGCAATATTACCTATTGATACATCTACTCATACCATGTCTATCTTCGTGTTCACTATCCCTTTTAAATTAAATTTAAACAACTCCAATGTAACTACTTTTATAACCATGAATGCCTGAACAAAATCTGAATAATTGCAGTGGTTGAGATCAAATTCATGCTCACTGGCTGTGGCTTGTAAAATGTTGCGCCACTTTGCGCTAATCTGCACTCGTGGCTGAGTTTTCATTTAGGCTATTTCCACTGTTCACTGCTCTCTCACACACACACACACACACATACATAGTTGTTTTTCGTCCTTTGCGCTTGGGTGTGTGTGTGTTGGGGCGTGCAGGTTTGTTTTAAAGTTTGTGCAAAAAATTAGAATT